TTTTGTTGTGCTTTCTTTCTTGCACAATGACTATAAGAGGAATTTTGATTCTTGTGAAAGCAGCAACCAGGAGCAGCAAAAACAGGACGGTTATTCATCAATCTAAGTAGCTTGTTCTAATTTATGTACTATGAGTGTTCAAAATTTCACCTTTTGCTGCCCAAACCTAGATTTATTTATTTCTTAAATTATCACAAACATAGATTTATTTTTTATACAATGCAATAAAAAAAGACTTCATACATTTAGAAAAAATAGATCTTAAAAGATTGACTGATTCACAACAAAGACTTTTCATGCCACACCCTACACATGATTCCAATGCACCAATGTAAAAAGCCCACAACCTTAGGCCCTTTTACTTAACCATAAATACATATTAAGGGCATGGAGTGCCAGTCTGTGCTGCTGATATAATGATGTTTACACTAGGTAAAAGTACTTTGTAGTTGAAGCAAAGTTGGGGAGACTGATTCTGCACTGCAATCCAGAAACCATCAACAAATTCAAAAAGGCCTGTAATAATATGTGATCTGATATGCTCCATTACAGACTGAGTCTCCACCCAGTGCTGCCTCTGACAGATGTGAGTGAGGAGCTCTTTGATAAATCCTCCAGTGCCTCGGTGCTTTGACAGGCTTCCCCAATTGTAGCCAGTAAACCAGCCATGTGTTCCCTTCAAACTGATATGCTTCAACCACGAAAGGGAACTTGTTTTATACCAGGAATGGTTTCTGTTTTTTCCTTTTTCTTGCACAAAAACGCTTTGGATTATAGATTGTTTGATATATGACAAAGATGAAGTTTTTTACTTCTATTAATTATAAATCAGTAAAGAAAAAGAGCTGTCAATGCCATGCTTTCAATAGTTAAACATGAGCCAGACCTATTTACCAGACCCATCAAATCAAGGAATCATTTACATAGAATCATTTCTATGTAACAGATACTTAATGTTACATGTCTATGTGGGATGAAATATTCTACAAGGACTCAAACACCAATCCTGATCAAAAGAGGTTCAAGAAGAAAAATGAGACAAAGTCACTGACATTTGTCTCAATGGGAAACGGTTGCAAAGTCACTTCAGAGGCTTTGGGACTCCAGCTGAAAAGAGTGAGAGCCAGCAAAAGGAGAAAACGAGGAACAGCGGTAAACCTTACTACAAGTGGCTGGCCAAAAGATACTCCAAAAACACATCAGTGACTCATCCATAGAGAACTGCAGGCTTCACTTGTCCACAATAACATCACTGTTCACGATCCAGCAGTAAGAAAGAGATTGGACAAAATGGCATCCCTGAAAGAGGTCCAGGATAAAAAAAAACAGACTGAAATTCAAAGCCATTTTTCACATTTGGAAAAAAAAAAAAAGACATCTTCAAAATTCCTAAAAAGCATTTGTCAAAACATTTTGTTGACAGAAAATGACAAACCATTAAATTTTGGAAGGTATGGTTGCTTTTATACCTTTTCAAAGTTGACACACCTTTTAATTTTAATTGGACACAATGCACAGAAATTAATGAGATGCATTACATTTTATGTGACAAAATGAGAAGTAAGATAGTTTGCAGCAATGCATTGTTACATAATGCAAATGTTTTCAGCTTTGTTCATACTCACTTGTTGAGCTGTTATATACAGAAGCACAGAGTAGTCTTTTATGATTAATGCATACAATTTTCTCCAGATGGAGTGGTTTTTGAGGAGAAAGCAAGTCAAAACCTATAGAATCCATAATTAAAACTCAAGAAGTCAAAAGCAGCTGCACAGAAAGGCACCAGCTTCTGGCATGGGAAAGCTACCAAAACCTCAAAGCATGGATTATGGAGTTTGCAAAAAGGGAAAGCACCAGAAACCACAGATGTCGTCAAAACGAGGGTTTATCCTTGAGGTTACAGCTTCTGCGTAAATGGTCTTGGGTTAGAGGGCCACATGAACACTGACCCTCAACTCCCGACATAAATCTCACAATCAGGTTTGTGTGCATAAAATGAAACTGCACGTTCTCTTGAATAGGACACATGCATAAAGTTGACAAATATTTCTTTCTTAAGCACTTGCATTAATTCCCTCTGACCGTCCCCTCAAATAGTCGACCATGCTATGGAGTCTCAGACGTCTTTCTTTAGTGTAAACACTCTAAATAAAACAGTCTTTTCTGGTTTGATGAGTCCCTCCCATCAGAGAGTGTTCTCTCTGAGGAGAGCTATTCATTAGAGCACACCACCCACATGCAGTGTGCCATTTCCTTCAACCTCACATGAACAATCTTTGCAGGCTGTCTCATGGGTGGATGTGTGCAACTGTGTGTTCATGCCTACAATCAGGTCTGCATATGGTTTGAAGAGGTGGTTTGTATTTTTCCCCCCATTTCCCTTTCCCTGATTCCACTTTCTCTTGGAAAATTCGACCAAACCTCAACAATGTCTGGAACTAGTAGTTTGTATTGCTGACTTTGACTATAGAACAACTCACATATGGCAATGTCTTGGATACCTTAATGACCAAATATTTGAATAGTTTCATGATTTACATTTTGAAATTTTTTGCATATAAAAGAATAGGCCAAACTTATTGGAGCCCTTGTAATTCTCTGTACAACAATGTCATGATCTTGGAGCAGAGGAATGAATCTTTGACAATCTCGCTTTTGTAAAAAAGATCTCTTGGCCATCCGAGTCATGAGAGCTCTATTTTGTTTGGGCGGAATACAATTTATTACATTTCCAAAACCCAACAGGAGGCTGGAATAATGCAAGAAATGGATCGAGGCCTGCAGCCAACCACATGTCTAGTTGAATGAAGCTGTGATCCACGGCAACTACCACATGTTCGTCTGTACAAAGGTATCTGGTATGTATCGCTAAATTTTTTGTCATTATGACACTTATTGATAGTCAAAGGATCAGTAAGTGAAGGTAGTTATGCTTGAATTTTTGTGTACAGTGCACAATATACAAATGTCTGCTTGGAGCAATATGGCTCATGAAGTTTGTGAGTGTCTTAAACAAGAAATACCATCTAATGTAGTTTGTCTTTAGAAGCTGTTTGTCAGCTCATTTTTGGTCTGAAAGAACCCTGGAAATATAACATTATATTTTACTTTTGGAAGCAATTTTTGAACTGAAAACAGCAAAAGAAAAATAAATTAAAAAACCAAAAATATAAAAAAAATAAAGGTAATTTTTATGTGCTGAATAAAAAGAAAAAGAAAAGCTTGGATAGTGACCTGCAGAGGTGAATTACATCTGGAGAAATTTGTCCATCATTTCACTGTGATGGCATCCAAATCCAACCGTTGACATGACTAATCATCCGCGAGAGCTACCTTTGACATGCTGACGTGTTATCCTTTGAAGTGTTTTGGCTTTGAGACAGAAAGCTTAGCAGACACAGTGGAACTGTGCCAAAGTGGAATGGAGTGTTGCAGCGTGAACTACAGCCAAGAGTTTTGTTTGGGTAGTTCATGGCACCAGCGCAGGAGCCAAACGTTCCAGTGGTGGAATTCAAAATGAAGTTTAAAAACAACATATACGGACACAAATTTGTTCTTCTTGATTTACATGTTTAGCTGGTTATAAACTTACTGGTGGTGAAAATGTAAATCAGGCTGTCTCAAAGAAAGACAGGACAACAGCTAATAGGCCACAAATGCAATGTCTAAGCTGACTTGAATGTTATTTCAGATCAAATAAAACTCCCACTGTAACTCAGACAGTAAAAACTGTTCTGTCCGTTTTTGTGTCAGAATAAAGGACATAATATACTCAGCAACTCCAGCGTTGTTTGGCTAACACTCAAGCTAACCACCAGATGTCCTCATTAACACAAAAAAACCTGCGTTCTCTGGCAGAGGTGGAGGGAAACCATCAAAGTTGAAAAACTGCACAATGCCATGAAAAGGTTGTTATACACCTTGAAGTTTATCACATTTTACAGTATAACTTCAGAGCATTTTATATGGAGTTTATACTTCAGATCAACACAGAGTGGCACACAATTGTAAGATGATAGAGCAGCACAGAGCACATATTTGAAAGAGGAATAAAATATACATTATTTTCTATATGTTCCCATTCTTCACACTATGTGCAAAAAAAAACAAAACAAAATATATATATATAACCAGCTACCTTAAAAGACAGCCCACCTGTTTGTATTGTTACCTCTGAATGCCACTGAACAACCAGCATGGTGGTGGCAGCATCATGCTGTGGCAACACTTTCTTCAACTGGAAGGGATAAAGTTATGAAGAATTCTAAAATAAAATTAAGCTTAGGAAAACTATCTCAAGTTCTAAACATCTTACAGAGCCGTGCCAAATGCATAGTCAAAATGTAAAAAACAAGCTTACATTTTAACCTTATTTTAACATTTGAAAATGAGTTTACAATGTAGAATAATCAAGATACCCATTCAAACTGGCATGCATGGTATGGAAAGCATTGATCAGAGAAGCAGCCACAATATTTATGAGAATCTGCTAATAGGACAACTAGTACGCCATAAATCTGGCATCTGAGCAGATAGCTTGAAGTCCTGACTGGAATCCAACAAGAAAGCATGTGGAAGAAGTTCATCTATAAATTGGATGAGGTCAAAATTGAACATTTTAGCTTGAAAGTAACATGCTTTCTTAGAGGGAACTGTTGTACATCACCCTAAGCACCACATCTCCACCATGAACAATGGTGACCGCTTCAGTGGGAATGGATGGAGAAAATTGAATGTCTAGAGCTTAATCCGGTTTGGAGTCTGCAGAAAGACTTTGCAGTCTGTTCAACTGTTCCACTGGCTGAGCTTAAATTAAATTGCATTAATCAATAGGCAACGTTTTTAGTCTCTCGAGTCTGGACATGCAAGTGGTAAAGATACACTAGCAAATATTTATAGATGTAAATGCTGCACAGTTTTGTCCAACAAACTTTTCAGATTTTTATTAAAAAAATAAAAACCATACTACATTTTCTTTCCACTTTACAATTGTGCACAGAGTCATCCTGCTATGTCAAATAGCATATTTATGAAATAAAGCTTGTTGCTGGGATTTAGCAGTCCAATACATATTGCTAAATACTTTCCAGATTTCAGGTTTCAAGCAAGTGAACCTAACAATTAATAATAGGTGAAAACCAGAAAAAGTATGAAATTCACTGGGCCAAACTAGGTACTCACAGATCACAAAGTAATCAAGAACTTTTTTTTAAAATAATTAGTTTCCATCTAATTCATCCATTGAATACTCAGAGGCTAATCTTTTCAGATGTCAAATCTACACTTCAGCTGATTTAGATTTTTGTTGTAACACTTTAGAGTGGACAAAAGGAAACTAACAGAAATACTCTGAACACAGTGTTATGCCATTTTAATTAATACAGTCAAGTCTGCTCTTTTGAGTTTTGTAATAACATTTTATCCAAATATGTGCGGACTTTGCAGGCCACAAGGCCAGAGTATGTCTTAAGCAGGGAACATTTTCCACCTCTCTGTTCAAGGTCTTGCCACACTCTTTCTAGGTCTCGGCTCCCCATTCCTGCTGAGCTGAACAGATGTCGATAGCAGCAGGCATTGTAGTGGATGTGTCTCTCTCCTGAGAACCTGGCACTGTGAGTTGGTGTGACACCGGCTTTCTGAGCACAGAAACCTACAAAAACGTCAACCGGGATGGGGGTAAGGACTGTCGACGATGCAACGTAGACTTTACGGACCACATCCTGCGACAAAATGTAAGCAGTTCCTTCACAGTATTCTGGTAGATACTTGTGAGGGTAGAGAACGCGGGACAGGTAGCGTGGACTGTTGGGGTTCCTGTCAGGGGACTCTTTCTGGATCACTCTGCCTAGATACAAGTCTTCTGAATTCCTGTGAAGCCCCCGCAGGTAGCTTCCAATGGCAGGAAGGTTTATGAACACAGAGTCCTCAGTCAAAAGAACCAAACTTGCCCGAGGACAGAACGTGATTACCCAACGCAGAGCCAGCAGTGTGTTCTCCTTTGCTCCGTAGAGGGATGACGCATCTACGACACGGCTTTGGATCAAATCACCATGAAGTTCAGACTCCTTGATGAGATCCTGTTGGGTGGTAGAAGATTCAGTCGATGCTGTAAAGAAGAGTACCTTAATGGGAGATTCTTGAATTAGTGTTTGGTTTGCCCACGTTCTCCTCACTGCATTTCTTTGGGTGATATTTGCTGGAGAGCTGAAGACCAGAGCGAGGAGGAAGAGGTCAGGTTTTCTGCAGGCATCGGGATTAGAAATAATGTAATCCCTGGATACATTCTGCCTGATGGTGCTCAAGTCCAGTTTTCTTGCTCTCTCCCTCACATCTGCAACCATACCATCAGTGTAAACCACAGGGGACGGCTGCAGGAGGTACTCCTCAACGAAATCTGCCCCGAACAGCAATGCATGGAACAGCAAGATGTTGAACAGGAGGAAACACCACTGATGGGTACGCAGTTTACACAAACAGCACTGCAGTGTCAAAAAAAGCATGAATTATTCTAAATGCAGTATATGAAACTTTAACAATTTTTAAATTCATGAGTTCAAAAGACATAGTTTGTACCTGCATGACAGCTGCTGCAAAAGCCTCGTTGCTCATCTGTTTATTAGCTACAAGTGATGATTGGACCCGCCACGGCAGAAGGCTCTACAACAATAACAGCTGATCACACAGGGTTTCCACTTTCATGAAACCCAAGGCGCATGTAACTGTGCACCCTGTTCCCGACTGAGATCTTGATTTCGAGGAGTCCATCTTACATTATGCATACTAATTCAGTGACATGTAGAAAGAGTAGATGATTAAAGGCAAAAGATTGTTGAAGATTCACTATTCACCATGAACTACTGAAGCAAATGAAGGACATTTTTTAAAAGTTAATACCATTTTTTCACATTTCAGTAACCATGCCTAGATATGCTTGTGTCTCTACCAAGTTGGGTTTTAATTCATGTGACCATAGGAGTTTAAAATATATCAAGAGCATTGAAGATGAAAAGAGTAAGGCACAAATGAAAACCCAGTAGGACTGATATATTGTGCAAAGGCATCAGTAATCAAAGAAGCAGCCAAATGAACTATTGTACCTGGAGGAGCTGCTACATGCATGCGCATAAGAAAAACTTGTGAAAGAAGATACACTGATCAAATGAGACCAAAATTTAACATTTTGGCCTACAAAACAGGCTGTAGGATGGTTTTAAGAAACATGTAACTCTGCACCCTGTGGTCACATCCTCATTTAGAAGAGTGTATCTAATTTAGTGATCCAAAAGGTGAACCTTTCTTAAAATTTTATTGACCAGCTTGACATATTAGGTAACACGTAAGTGACATTATTTTAATAAAATTCCCTTTCTGGACTCTTATTAACTTTGCAAGTAATATGTTGCAGATGTTAAAATAAAAATATAGGCCCTGGAAAAGAGTACAATTATTAGAAAAGCCGTGACTTATAAAACTTTATTAATGAAACTTTGGAGAAATGTGAAAAGATGACAAGTTTTACAAGTTCAGTGGAATGTTTTTTCTGGCCGAATGCAAAACGCAGTTGATGGGTCTTTAAAGCCATTTATTGAGAATCCATGTGAAAGTTGTAACTGGTGCAAATTTTGCACTCAATCTAATGCTGATACAGCAATACTTCCACAGGCCATGATTTCTTAAGTATTTTAAGTTTGTAAATTAATAGTCAACTGCGTTGATGTGGTGATTAACACTGTTGATTTATGGAACATATCCTAACTAAATCTTAGAGTTGAGTGTTTACTTGCAACAGCTTTGCCAAATTCATGACTTCCTCCCATTGCGGCAAAACATCGATTGCAGTGAGTTTTAAATCAGAAGATCTGTGCCCATGATAGTCTCTCACTCTGTAATGGTAAATGTTATACAAGCTATCAGTAGGATGAATGGATAGCACAGAAAATATAAGTTTATATGTACTTCTTTTTATCTCTATCTATGCTTGTAAGTAGTTTTGAAATAAGTAATTTCAAAAGTGATTAATGCAGGAGTGAGTGAAAAAATTATTTTCAGTAACTTTGTTTGCTTTATTTGAGTTATATTTGTTTAAACAAAGCCAAAGACAAACTTAAAAGCATAAAATTGTGGTTGGTGTTATATGATGCAATAATGTCCCTGTCGAGCAAGGTAAAGTAATCAAAGGTGTTTTATTCCCACTTTGTCCACCAGGTGGTGGTAATGCGCTCCTGGTTGTGCGAGACTAATGTGACATGAAGAAGAAGCGGAAGTCGTGGATTCCAAACAGAAATAGTCATGGCAGCCACCATTCAAAGTTTGCTGGAAGAAATATCCGGAGTTGAAGACCCAATTGAAGAGTTGCAGAGCTTAAAAACTGCTATGTTGTCTCTACCAGTCAGCGCCCTGAGAGACGTGCTGAGCGGACAGCGTTTCGATGTGATTTTCTCTCTGCTGAACACTAAAGAAAGGTTGGTTTGTGTGTCTCAGTCTTGTTTACACTCTGTTGAACTCAACATTTATTGCTGAGTCAGAGGGCGTGTTGCTCAGCTCTGTGGCTGCTTGAACAACTAATGGGTCAGTATTACCATAAGGATAACGACAGGAGAGGCTAGCTAACCTCTCCTGTGTCCTAGCATGCAGCTAAGATTTGTTAGCATGCTAAGTGACCACAATGCTGCACTACTTCAGTTCATCTTCAGCCATGCTCTCTGAAACTAAAATGTTGTTCTTTTTTAACAATAGCCGCCCTGTTTCACTCATTGAAATATTTTTAAGTAATATGCATAAACATTTTTATATATGTTTTTTACATTCCAACATTTTCCAGCTATACCTTAAATGGAGCAACAGCAAGAACACAAATAACATTTCTATTAAAATGAAACTATGATAGTTTGGTCTAACTTTCCTATTAGAGATAAATTAGAATAATATCATACTGAAGATGCTGAAGATCACATATAATAGTGAGGTGGGGGTGGATATTTAATTTACTTTTAAATGTAATTCAGTGATGCCCATCATAGGTGTTAACCTTGCAACTTCAGACTTACTGCAAGTCTGCCTCTCAGCATTAGATCTATTTGCACAAACATTTACTGTACAGACTAAATGTTTGCTGGAAGAAATATATAAGGAATTGAAGGAGCAGTAAATTGCATAGTATTTGAAACATCCATTAAGAAATACAATGAATAAAAAGCTATTGAATACACCAATACGTTACGATGACTTTGAAAAGATAAAGTGGATTTAATAACAAACTGTTAGTTGCTGATGTAAACCATTTGTTACAGAGGTTTTGAATTATTAATATATTCTGTGTTCACAGGGAGCAGGTTGATCTGTGTGTGGACATTCTCGAACGCATCCTAATAGCCCTCAGTCCTTTGCATTTGGTGCAGAACTACAGAGAAAAGCTGCAAGAGGGATTGAGCCATCCTAACGACACAGTGAAGATACTGGCCTTGACACAGGTAGGGAGTTCGGACACATACAGTAGATAGCAGCCAGTAAAACAAATATTACATTAGCCTTTGTTTTTCTTTCAGATTGGCAGGGTGGTGGAGCACCCAGAGGCTGTTACGCAAATCCTCAACAATCATGACATTTTACGGGCGGTGATCCTTTGCATCGGTGAGGAGAAAATTGCTGTGGCAAAACAGGTGAAAATTTTAGACACTGAAAGGATTTTGTTCCAGTTCGTCCAACCTACATGGTGTATAATAACTGTTGTGTTTTCTCTTCTTCTTCCAGGCAATTCAGTCCCTTTCTAAAATAAGTCACTCTAAGCCTGGATTAGACAAGTTATTTCAGAGTGATCTCCTTGAAGTCATGAAGGAAGTGATGGGCAAAAACGACATAATAAGATACAGAATACATGAGGTGATATAAATTTCCTCATTTTTTTTCTGAAAATACTAGATGAATGTTTCATTGTTTATTGACTTTTACTTTTACTTGTTCGCATGAAAATAATTTGCTTACCAAGTAAACATGATTGCTGCAAAATAAGTGTCCTCCACTTTGTTTAATTTTTGTTTTTGTTTTTCAAAAACCCGTCATAAGACCAGTTCCTCTCGTTCTTCTTTCTGCTTGCAGCTGGTGGTTGAAATTTCATCTTTTTCTCCAATTTCTCTCGGTTACTGTGCCAACAGCGGCCTCATTTCCCAGCTGCTCAGCGAGCTGACTGGAGACGATGTCCTAATCAGGTAGCGACGGTTTTGTATCAGTGAAAACAAAGACATATCATGTTTGTTTATCTTCTTTCTGACAGGGTTCCCATGCTTTTCGTAGAGACTATTTTTATTCATGTCTTTCCCATCAGGGCCACATCGATTGAGATGGTGACCACTCTGGCTCACAGTCAGCATGGTCGCCAGTATTTGGCCCAGCAGGGCATAATGGATAAGATTTCCAACATGATCAGAGGAGCTGATATGGACCCGTTTTCCTCCCTCTACCTTCCAGGTGAATACGTTTTCAAAACTACTTTCACGATTCAGTACCAGCAACTAAATGATGGTTTTGCTTTTTTTTTTTTTTTTTTTTTTGTCCTTGTTGTTATTATCTGAAAAAAAAATTGTTGATTTAATAAGGGCACTCTCAAACTTGTTTTTACTTTTCAGGAAATGTTAATCAGAACTGTGGCCCTTTCTATATGTATGCTGCTGGTTTAGGTTTGGTGAAATTCTTTGGGAATCTGGCCATCATGGACAGCCCCCAGCAGGTTTGTGAATCCTACCCGATCTTCCTAAACAAGGTGTTTGACATGGCCATGGATTGGGACCCCGTCAAGGTTGGAGTGGCCCTGGACACTTTGGGATTACTTGGTTCTACAGTCGAGGGGAAACAGGTTCTCCAGAAGACGGGTAGGTATGATTTCTGTAGGTCTGGATTTTTGTGTCTTTCTCCATAGTTTCAAAGAACAAACGTGTGCCAAAATCACTCATGGGAGTGGGCCAAGGGAATTCAGTAAATTATTGTTTGAATAACAACTCTTATTAGCAGGACAAAACTAAATGTAAATACACCGACTTGCAGAGAATAAAAAGGCTTTACAATAAATGTTTGGTGTCAAAAGAAATATAAGGCCTGAAATACAAGAACCAGTTTCTGTAATGTTTACATACATTTTTATAATTTTCTGTTATTTACACTTAGTGATTTTTTTGGGAGGTTTTCTGGTCATCTGAGATCACATCTAAGTCAAGTATTCAGTCATAACCATCTTTTGTTGTCTATAAAGTTCTTAATTATTCAGTTTTGTTTGTAATCAGGAGAAAACTTCAAGTCTGTGTTTTTGAGAATCAGCCAACTTGCCAGTTCTGGAGCTACTGAGCTCAGAGTTCGAAGCTTGGACGCCATATCACAGCTGCTCACCCTTCAGGTATTTAAAGAAACAATCTGGTGAAACTTTACTGTGATACTGTTGAATACACAAAATTAATCAATTCAACTTTGACATTTTTACGAGTTTCTACCTTTTTTTTTTCTTTTTTACAGCCAGAGCATCAAACAGAAGACCTTCTGTCCCTGACGGAGTCCTGGTTCCACCTTCTGTCTAACCAGCCAATGGATATGATTCGCAACATCAGCACTCAGCCTTTTCCAGAGCTGCACTGTGGGGCTTTGAGGATCTTCTCTGTAAGTACAGACCCATTCATCACCTTTAAAACCGAAGAACTATACCATTGTTACCCAAAAGCAGAAGTGATAATTAATACCATCTTTGTGTGTGTATTTCTTAGGCCATTGCAAGCCAGCCGTGGGGTCAGAAGATGATGGTTAACACTCCTGGTTTCATGGAGTTCATTTTGGATCGCTCAACTGGTCAATCAAAGGAGGCGAAAGATGCCAAATTTGAACTGGTGGGATCTCTTCTGGGCTCGTCTACAGCATCAGAAATACTGGGCAGTCAAAACTACATCCGCCTGAAGACGTATCTGAGTGAAGGACCCTACTATGTATCAGCTGTGGCCTCCGTCAGCACAGAAGGAGCAGACTAATTCCTCAGCATACATACTAGTCTTTATTGTTTAAGTATTTGTGAATTCATTGTTAACAAAACACCTATTTGATACCTATTTGGTTTAAAAATAACTGATTCTTTGGCTTAAATTGGCAGACATACCATGAATCCCGAGAAAATAACATATAAATAAAAGTCTTATTAGTCATTGAAGCTGTTTGGATACTTTTAGAGAAATAATTGGAATAAAAGTACTTCAATGACTTTATAAATTTGAAATGATAATAGCAGGGAAGCAAAAAGCAGGTTTTCACATTTTTAAAAACTTAGTTAAGCAATAAACTCTAAAATATGTCAGATATTACAAGATTTCCATCCAGACATGGTTCAGTTTTTTTCTACTCTGTAAACTTTGAACTTATAACAACAACACTGCTCTTCAAAGTTATGTTTCTTTTTGTGTCATTGATTTTTTTTTCTGTATTTTTTTTTAAATAAATGTTTACAAATATATATTTCTTTACCTTTCCTGTATAGAAAAACAAACCAAGAACAAATAAAGTTGGTTTGGGGGATTCAAAATAACATTCTTTGACATTCAATTTTAAGATGAGACATAACTTTATTAATTTAATCCCCCAATGGGGGGAAATTACAGAATTGAATTGATTTAAAGCTAAATTATTTATATTTGTACTTCTAAATTAAAATGGAAATCCTTACAAAATGGAAGCATATAGTACAATAGCAGTTTCTTCTATTTTAAACCTTTGTTCAAAATTTAATTATGCTATATTTCAGAAATACTGCAGCTTCCAGCAATCCCACTATCAAGATGTATTTTCCTGTTGAGTTTTCAGTGACTTAATATCAAATATAAAATATTATTTTAATATTTTAGTTGAGATGGAGATATTAAAATGGAGAAAATCCATAGTTGTGTCAAGCTGCTCAAATCAACTGTCTTCGTTTGTGTGTAAATTACACATTATTTGCTGCAAGTGCAATGATACGGTAATGTTTTGAGACGCTTTATATATTCTCCTCAAATGTTAGGCTAAGAAACAAGTACATTAAATATTTTTTATGTACCATCAACGCAAATCAATTAAATATTTGGTATGCAGTAAAATGATTCTCAGGACGCGGAAAACGGACGAAGTGCAAAATCTTCGTCCTTTTATGCAAAATGTGTAATGAAAAATAATTCATTATAGGGGAACAATTTAAATGGTTCGATAAAAGGACTTTATTGAAGTTCAGCACTAAGTCCTATTTTAATTAACTGTAGCTTCTGGAGGCGCCCAAGAAGCTGCAGTCTGGCCATTAATCATGGCTGCAATTTGCAGTAGTGGAGCATTCCTTCACTATATCAGCCAAAGAATTTGATACTAAATATTGATACTAAATGCTTTTTATGGTAAGTAACTGATGGTTACATCTTATCAGTTGGCTTAGAGTAATTTGATGGGGTTGAATCCTTTTTGGTGCAATTATTAACATTTATATAGGTTTAGAAGTTATTCTTGTAATTTTCTGAAAATTATTCCTTAAGCAGTTCAAGCAAAATCTTAAACTATGCATCATCATCAGCAAAATGGTGGAATTTTAAAAGTAATGTCTAAAAGTTGCTTAACATTACTTTTTGTTTTGCATTATTAATAAAGTAGAAAGGATATAGTGTGACAGTTTGCTTACAGTTCTGGAAAAAGCTAAGGCCCTCTGCACTGAACCCCATTGAAAACATCATAATTTTTCCACCAAATATTGATTTCTGAACTCTTCCTAAGTTAAAAGAATAGTATTGTTGTTTCTAAATGAATACAAACTTGTTTTCTTTGCATGATTTGAGGTCTGAAAGCATGTTTTTTGGTTATTTTGACCATTATTTGTTTTCTACAAAAATAAAATTTCCGCTTGCAATTTCTAAGACATGTCAGTAGTTCATAGAATAAAAGAACAATGTTCATTTCACTCAAAAAATATACATATGAAAAGTAAAATCAGAGAAACTGATCATTTAAAGTGCTCTCTTAATTTTTCTCCAGAGCTGTATATCTAAATATCTAAACCTTCCAGGCACTTTAATGTTGTCTTTTCTGTGACATAAATAATATATTTATAGCGTTTTGAATTCTATATCATTTTAAAATGCAATTAGTGTATTCTGTTGAGTCATTCTAAGTGCAAAATGGCTCCAACATCCATTGGTCACAGGTGGAGTATCACATCCTTCCATCGCCACAGCAATAAAACAACAACAAAAACACTTTTCTCCTGTGAGCTCTGACTCAACCTCAAGCATCCATAATAAGCTTGAAACTCATGAGCACCCTCACGTCACCGTGTCCCCTGTGACTCATCAGTTCACCCACGTCTTCTCCTCCGTGTGCCATTGGATCATCGGAAAAAAAATATCCCGTCAGTCTTTTCACTTGATATTTGATTTCTGACATTCGCTTCATAAAAGGCAGAACGGGGACGAAAAGAAAAAGAACAAACCGCAGGATGCTTTTTCTTTGTGCTTTCTTGCCAGGGTCACAGTGTCCCCCCCTGTAATTAAATCTGTTCTCATCATGTAAAAGCAAAAACTTTGGAATTTTTCTTGCTTCAGAGTGTCTTGTTAAACTTCTGCGATGCTGCAGATGTTTCTACGAGTTGATTTTTTTCACGGTGAACAGTTCTTACACTAGCTTCACATTTTCCAAAGGTTGGAGGATCTGAGATTGACAAGATGCAGAAAGTAGGAGGAAATGTGAAATTGCTTCCATGATGAATCAGCCCTCCATCATCAATTAGGTTGTGTCAATCACATGGGTTCAACAGCAGGTTTGTGTTGCTGTAATGTCTGCATTTTTCAGCTCTTATTAGGCACTTGAACCACCATTTCATAGACTTCATTGTCGTCTAATGCCTGAACCCATTTCCACGCATTTCGTAAGTGCTTGGTTTAATGTGATTTCAGAACAACTTTGCAGTAATACAGCTGAGCAAAGTACCCATCATTACAATTTGCAGAACAGATCACGTTTTGGGGAATAGATAAATGCCTTGCAAAAAGCTTTTAACTCTTTCAAATTTTGGCACTTATTCTATATATTTGATTCAAATTCAATGTGATAAACCAGCAAAAAGCAGTATATAATTGTGAAGAGAAAAAAGTTATTAGTAAAAAATGTAAAGAGGGAATTGTGCTGTTGTACTTGGTCTATTCAGCTGTTATTTCTCTACCAGCTTTTTTTTATTATTACATCGATTTATACAATTTTTTTATTGTTCTTTGCAAAATAGTTGAACTTCAGTCTGAATGGACGACAATTGTCTACGTAACATAAATTTTCACATTTTGTCACATAATCTCATTATGACTTGTTCTGAATTTTGCCCTTCTGGCTAATGAATATGCTTCTTCCTAAATCTGGGCGAATCATTTGAGTAGTGGATTTCTGCAGCTCCTCCAAAGTTACCATGCATAATTTGCTCTAATTTCTCTGTAGGTTTAGGTGGCGATTCAATGACATGGTAGGAAACCCAGACTTAAATCAAAACACATTTTGCTAAGTAGACAGGTGAAGGTAGGTGATGCAAATCCAACATTAAAAATCAATAATAATATAAACAGTTTTTATAAGTGAGAAAATGTGCAATTATTCATTCACGACTATTGTATTTTACCTGAATGTTTTATGTGGTAGTACACATAAAGTCCACCAGATGGTGCTGCTCTCCCTTTCGCCTTTTGCTGAAGCAGGAGGACCCTGTCATGTCCACCGCTGCAGACCTGTCTCTCCTGCGCGTCTCGCCCCCCCTCTGACGCTGCCATGCTCGGTTTCTGCCTCCCGTTCAATAGTCCCACCTCCATCCTTCAGTTTGTCAGTTTTATAACCTCGTTACTCAGTCCTCACTTTGGCCTGCAGCCTCCCAGGTGCGTAGGTGGAGAAAACAAAACACTCTCCCTCCAAAATGCACCTGCATAGGTGAGAGGCGCGAGCGCAAGGAAGGGATAACTTTTGTTTGGCAAGAGCGTCTTTTATTTATTTCATTAGTTTTAGTTCGTGGGTACGCTTCTACCTGGCAGATCGCAACCTCCGATGCAATTAACCCAGGAAGACGAGTTTGTGCAGGACCCCACGCCGACCACCGCAGCCCCCCAGTCGGACAGAAGCGCCGGATCTCCGGCCAAGATGTGCAGCGAGTGCTACGTGAATCAGTCATTTGTGAACGACGATGGGACCGTGAGCGCCCATAAGCAACGGTGAGGGAGACACAGACAGAAGTTCAGGCTTCCTGTGACTTTTTTTCTTCCTTTCTTTTTTGTTGTCGTTTTTAATTCATAATTAAAAGTTACACTCAAATTAAAAAGCTGTGTGGTTTTTAGAAGTTTTTTTTATGTCAAATATGAAAAGTGACTATGTGATATGTGCGCTGTTTGTTTGTCCATCCATCCATCCACACACATGACGCACTCACCTGTTCCCTCTGTCATTTGTTCAGCTGCCCAATGCCTCAGCCTGCAGCTACACTTTACAGTACTGCTCCAGAAATTGCACGTTTGAAACTGAAGAACGTCACCCTGATGTCCCTGTTGATAACATTTGTTATATTTCAGCAATAAATTCAGAGAAAAAACAGCAGAAACATTTGTTCAACATCGTGCTATTGTTTTTATATGCTTGGAGAAGTTTTATTGCTTTTTTCTTTTCTTTCTTTTTTTAATTCTCTATTTTCTGTATTCTAAACTATTTAGCCAACACTGGTTATTTTCTGAGATGAATAAAGTATTCTGATTCTGATTCTTACACACACACAAATACAAATCCAGTCTTCGCTTTGATGCTTAAATCATCTATGAAGTCATCTATGAAACCCAAGAGGCACGAGTCTTTCCTGATGATTTGTTTAGCAAAGTGCATTTTACAAAACCACAGCGAAAACACATACCACTCATCAATTATAAAACACCTCTGACAAGCTAAATGCAGAGTTGCAGCCAACAGCCCTCGATGGAGACACGATGTGAGTTTCAAGGTGTTTTTCTCTCTGTGTGTTTCTCTCCATCCAGTCTGTTTTGTGAATGATGCAGACTGCGTTTCTAGGAGACTGAATGCAGCACCAATCTTCACAGCGACCATCAGCACTTCTCTCATTAAGCCAATTTAAATATACAAAAAAAGATACCATATTTTTTAAATTCATTTATTTATTTATTTATTTTTGCTGCCGCTGGCTATTTAACAAGTATGAAAAGTAACCCATTCATCTGTAAGAGACTCCCATTCATGCTGGCAAAGCCAAATACATCAATAAATCCATTTTAATCTGCTCCTTGAATTAATAGACATCCGTTTTTATTTCAAAATCTCTTCCAGCAGGACAACGCCTCTAACCACACAGGGCTACAATGGGAGGGTTTAGATCAAAATGCATCTATGTATATATATTTGGTAACACTTTATTTGTGAATAAGACTGTCATGACACTGTCATAAACATGACATAACACCTGTCATGAACATGAGTAAGTCTTCATGAATATTTATGACTATTGTCATAAAGTGTCATTCGGTAAATCATGACACTTTTAATACAAAGTTGACATTATTCAAAATGTCTTTTATGACAATTCATGATCTGACATAAATTTGCCAGAAAAGTATTACTGATTCAACTTTAGCTTTAATAACATAAAGCTACATAATTTTTAAAGTCATGACAGTCTTATTCACAACCCATCAAATAAAGTGTTAGCTTGTGGTTTAATGGCCCAGTCAAAGTTCGGTCCTAAAGGCTGTTGAATCAATCAATTAAATGCTGTACACTACCTGTGTCTAACAGCTTATTGATAGAGATGCTGTACTTGTCTGAAATATTGTTGTAACATCTGTTAAAATGAAGCAGAAACCCTTCTTTGGGACTCCCAGAACACATTCATATTCTGCTTCTTATGTTAAATGATCCGTGTTAAGTTGCAGTCTTTTATTGCATCTGCCCCATTTGTGTCAAGTAGTTTGTATGCATAATAGCTTGAAGAAACATTTGTCAGTTGCTTGTTTTCTGATCTTTTGTAAACCATACTTGTGTGCATTTCTGTAAAACTTGACCATTTTGCACTTTTCCACTCCCTTTCTGCGCTTCTTTCATCATTCCCTCTCCATCCATTCCAGCTCCCTCCATTTGTACAAAGCCCTTTTTTCCGCCCTGCCCTTTTTATTTTCCTTCTGCCTCTTTACTTGTCTCTTCTAGCTCTTCCCCTGCTCCACTTCCGACCAGCAGCGGCCGCAGCAGTGGAGTTATCCTCGACATCTCCTCGCTGAAGATGGAGCAGTTGGAGAGCGAAGTGCCTCCGCTGCCGCCCCGCTTCCGCTTCAGAGACCTGCTGGGGGACCAGAACTTCCAGAACGACGACAGGTAGGCAGAGAAAGAGACTCCAGAGCAGAGACTCTGCCGCAGTCTTACCCAATATTACCAATGTCAGCTGGAAAGGGTTCTGTAAGCAAATAGTTTTTGAAGCAAATGGATAGAAAATCTCACAGTCTTGTTCATAAATTGAAAATAATCTTTTTGTTACATTAATTAAACTTAAACTCCCGATTAAATAGTTTACCAGAGTTTACAATGCAGCAGCAGCAGCAGCAGCAGCAGCAGCAGCAGTTCCTTCAGGTATTTTAAAGGAGGATTTGAAACAAATACTTTTGAATTCACTTACAGCATCAGTTTTTGTGGTTGTTGATCTTATTTATTTTACTACTGAGCTGGAATCCATTTTCATCCCCAACAATTACTTCATCATCACCAAACCTGCTTTCGGTTGATAGAATTGCAAAAAGGTTTTTCCAAATATTGGCCTTCAAAGCCAGTGGATCCTGCTGGTGCTTGTGTTCTCCGTGGTGCTGAAATTTCATTGTAAACTGTGAGATTTACATACAGTTTACTACAGAGATTGTGTTTATTTCAGTTGGAGCACTTTTTAGTCGTTTAGCAATCAAAAGTATATTTTGAAATGTACTGCATTCACGTGTTAGTGTCTTAAATTTTGGGGGGTGCCGCACATAAACTTCTTTACTTCAGTTGTTCTCTTTCAACCGGTCTATTTGTTGCACTCGTAAACAGCTGTGTTTTTCATTCAATTCATATTAGAGTTAATTTAGATCTAGAATTTGATGCTTGGATGGTTTGGATGATGCTTCCTGTGCTGACCATGGTGCTGAAATTGAAGAATGCACCTAAACTCCCATATTTGACTAAGGTTTTTTTTTCCATCTTCTTGTATTTAAAGCTAGAAGCGATGGCATTTCATATTGCAAATACGTTATATTTAGTTGTCTTTGTCTCATATTTTTCCCCATATGTCTGCCTTGTTGTTTCTGATCAGGCAATCTATAAGTCTTCCAAAAACGATAAAATCAAAACTGTGTATTTTAATTCAGTTATTTTATGGCAAAAATAATTGGCATTGAAATAATCAGAGACAGATCACTTTTTCCAGCTATAATGGAGGAAAAACTCCTGTCATTAATCTATAGAGAAAAGTTATACTTCAACTTCTAAAAAAAACAATAATCACAACCTTATTGACTGACAGGATATCTGGGCCCCAACAAGACAGTTGTTGGGAACATTGCTGAAGAAAATAATGTTGGAGGACCAACGATAGCATCAGGTTTTAAATATAAAACAAGTTAAGTTTACAATAAAAAATACACAAGAAAGGATATTAAAAAAAAAACAGAAACAGGAGCCAATGTTGTGAAAAAATGTTGTCCAAATACAGAAAAACATTTAGTAAACCATTGCTAATACCAAACCACAACATAAGGGGGTTGAGGAAAAGCATTCAGGGTCAAACAAACCCGCTGTTCATCCTCATTGATAATGACATCGTGCTGGATGTCAGGAAAAGGAGCAGAGCGGCTCAATGTTCATATACTCTGCAATCACTCAATATTTGGAAAAACCTTTCTGCAATTCTATCAACTGAAAGCAGGTCTGGTGATGATGAAGTAATTCTCGGGGATGAAAATGGACTCCAGCTCAACAAAAAGTCTTTGGCTTTATCATTTGCAGATATTTATGACAGAGACAATGACAAAGCTCCATCATCAGTCACCTGGTTTTGAATCTGCTTAACATGAGTCACTGGCTAAATGAATGGATGATTGGTTGAATCAGTACAGCTGATGAGCTCTCAGTCTCAGTGATGAGTGTATTTTACGTTCCTTTTATTGTTGATGGTTCACTTCTAGCTGTCTCCCATGGCACCATCCTGCTTGCTAATCTGCCCGAAAAGCTAAATGTTTTAGATAGGCTTCAACAAATAATCCAAGCCATAAAAACAGAAAAACAAATGCAGTTTTGGCTTTATTACATATTTTACATCTGAAAAGGGTGAAAAGTGCAGCAGTGAAAACGATATACCTGTTTCAGGTGTCTTTAGAAAGCTTGACTATTCAGCGGCTAAGAAATTGTTTTCTACTATTGTTATCTGTTTTGTTTTTTTTTATTAAAAAAATCAACAGAAACACTGACTGAGCAACATCTATGATCAGGGATTTCTTTCTTTTCATCAGGTTTTATACTTCTGCTCCTGCTATATTGTTCCCCTGTTTCTCAGACAGTCAAAATATTGTTGAGAAAAGCTTTTCCAGTGAAGCCAAAGTCCAGCATCTTGAAAATAGAAATCTTTTTTCCTTTTGTGACACATATTTTTAGGAGTGTAGCAACAACTACATGTGATTTTGCATGTAGTGATAGAAAAAAAAAGCCTTGAGAGTAGATTGCTGTCAATGTTAAGTGAAAACTGCCTCTGAGCTGAGCTTTTATTCCAAGATGACCTTTAACCTGGGTGTCCTTGCAGGAATAATTGTTTTCTTTTTGATGAAGAAGACCACATTGTGAGGTCTCATTATCGTTTTTCAGCTCTGGCCCTTTCAAGGAACCCGTCTCCCGTTCCCAGTCGATAATGTAGGAGCTGAATGATGCTTCAGGTTATATTTGCAATGGTCATCAGTAAACAAATGTCACTGGTCACATCTTAACAGGGATCGTCCATCGTTTAAATGTTCCTTTCTTAAAGGTGAACGCATGCTACAGAAAAACACGTCGATACATACAAAGAGAAACATTAAAACTCCATCCTCAATTGGCAGTGCTGCAGATTTTTTTCCCCATTTTAAGTGCTTTCATTATCTTGTTACCAAGGGGAAGCCTCTCGGATCTAAATATAGCGACAGAAAATGTCACATATTTTGCCGGCACAAGTCACAGGACGGCGCGAAGTGCCCACATGTAACTTGAAAAGCCACGTTAAATGGATGTACCTGTGTGGGCGAGAGGAGGTTCAAGTGGAACCTCCTCATCCGGTGTTTTCAAAAGCACTGACTCATGGAGGAGGTCATCTATAAATCAGCGCTTCAGACTTTCCCGCCTCCCAAACTCTGCTATTCGGTGGAGACGGAAAGAAAAATACGGGGAGAAACTAGAGAGAAGCCGTCTCGTTCGTTGATTCTTTGATCTTTTGCAGGCTCTGCAGGTGTCATTTCTCACCAAACCATTCACATCATTAGAGCATGAAGAGCCCCAAGTCAACAGCGCAGCCAAACACTTCGCTTCCTTTCTGTTTATCGAAGAACAAATACCCAAAAAGAAAGGAAATTAGGAAATATTGACTTACAACAACATATATACTTGCAATAATGATGATTTTGACCTTCATTTTATTATCATTAGCAAGACAAAGCACATAAAAAGAAATGATAAAAAAACGTGTTTCTGAGTTTTATTGGCCAAGTTGCAATAATCAACATGCCATCACAGTTTGCACACAATCCGATCAAGCATACACAAGTGTCTCTCTTTGTCCTTCAACTGCTAATGTTTGCAGTGTCTCCAGGTGTTGCAGTGTCACTGGAGAGGTCCATGCTGCAGCACCATCACATACGCTTATTCCTATCATGGTAGTGTTGCTGTGGCAACAGGTTCGCACACAAGCTGGGCGGGAAAAGACTGTATACAACTCTAAAAATATTCCCATTCCGCAAAATAAAAATGATCAGACGCAGCGCAGGCGAAATTCTCTCCCTGTAGCTCTAATCAGTGTGTGTGCGGTGCGTGTGTGTGTTTTTTTTTTTTTTTTTTTTGTTCCTCAAAAAGCTCAACAGTGATCATTTTCCAGCAGAGACAAGCTATGTTACTACAAATCTGCATGGGAGTGCATTAATCAGCATGGCTTAGTGCAGGAGTTCAGGCTTTCTGCACGACGCAGCAGCAGGTGTCCCTACGCGATGGACTCAGAAGCCATCGTCCACACCTGGATCAGTCCTTCCGTGGGAATTTGGAGGTCGGACGTTTTCGGTAGTGATGCTGGCCAGAGGTAGGATCTTTGATGTCATAAAAAATAGTGGAGGTGAGCTCTGTGGACTGACACTGTGGGGTGTCCATGTTGTTTTTCACTATCACTGTGTGATAGATTACACAGCCGCTTATGGGATTGGTCGTTAAGGAATGATGAAAACAAATAAAATGTGATGAACAAGTTCATGCTCAAAATCCGTTAGGATGAGTTTCCAGATGCTTATGTGTTGTTATGAATCATAACCTTAAATCAATCTATTTATCTCGTTTGTTAACATGCCCAGTGCAATTAGCGCTGCATCTCAGTACTGGTATAATTATTGCTACAGGATAATTATATCAACTTTATCCCATAAGCTGAAATACACAGTGCCAGCCGCATTTAGTGTTTTGGAAACCCTCATAAAGATGCTATGAAAAGGCTCAAAATACATTAATGTTTTATTGCGAAACTTCCCCACTATGGCAATTTAAGAAAAATCCAGCCTATATTTTTATTGAGAGGAGGGAAACTTCATGTTGAGAAACCATCTTTTTCATAGTAATGCAATAGAATTACTATTGATGCCCCTGCTGTCAATATTCTGCACAACATTTAAAATGTTACTTTTCCTGTAACGTTTTACAAGGTTGGAGCAAACCGCAAGATGGATCACTGACCTTTTCCAGAGTCACTTCAACTTTAGTAATGGATTCAGGTCGAGGTTCTCTATTGGCTGTGTAAAAAAAAAGAAAAGACAGATTTTTAATTAATCCATATTTACTGTTCTGGTCATATGTTCCCATTATTATTCACTTATTTGTTCATTTTCAGTTTCATGGATGATCCCAGAATACTCTTATTAAAGCTCTCCTTGTAGTTCTTCTGTTATCCAGTCAATTAAAAAAAAAAAATCATTTTATATCATTCATTTGTTGTCTTTCATTTGACTAGCTGGTTAATTGACCAGCTAAACATGAGGTATATATTTATTGATTAATGCATATCTCTCTGTAAGCTTGTCTGTTTTAGTGCTTTTCCCCTGAAACACCGAAGTGACTCCACAGCGCGATTGATGTCAGGGCTGCTTCAGCTTCGTAATTGGAATGGGAGCTAGTAAAGGGGCATTCCGTACATGTGCCCATGTGTGGGCAGAGGAATGAGACACACAGAGATCAGTCTGTAGGACTCTCTGCAGCTCTCTGGGTTTCTGCTCATCTCAGTCGAGATGGTTTTGCTGTTTTTACACGTTCATTCAGTCCTTCAATCTTTGTTGGACTTTTTCTGCACTCTTAAGCAGAGTTTAACCCTCAAGCACTATTCTCCCTGTCCATGACAGTCATTTTAAGCTCAAACTTTAGATAAGTAGCAGACTCTGCATACACACACGCGCACACACACGCTTCTAAATCACTTCTAATCTCTTAGGTTTGCACTTTGCCTTTTCCCCTCATGCAAATTCTCTCCTAAGAGAAAAGTTTTGAAGATTATTTATTAATTCTGCAAGAATTCACCTTTTGTTTCTGAGCTGCATGGCAGTGTGGCTCTTCTTGTCTCTTTTTGCTTTGCTTGTGTGTTCTCTGACAAAATTCCGATTAAACAACACTAACTTCATTGTAATTTGTGAGTATTTCATATGATAGGGCATTGCAAAGTGGCACATAATTGTGAAAAGGAAGGCATGATGATGCAGAAGTATACATTCATGTTGTATTTATGTCTTTGGCAAAAAATTACATTTTTAGGGATTTGACATATCACGTTTTAGAAAATTTAGCATTAGATTTAGACTGTAAGTATACAGTGGTGCATACAATGGAATGGTCTATATTAAATCAGCAACCTGTTATTTCCTTCTTGTCCATATAAGCACTTTATTTATATTTGCCTTTCACATAAAATCCCAATACTTTTAGAAAGCACTGTTTTCATCAACTATACATATATTGTAAGAATGCAATTAAATACTTGTGTAAAATCATTGCAATTTTCTGACATCTGTAGATGTAGATTTTGTTTTGAATGACTATCTAAGCAAAACGGGTTATAGTTTCTGATTTACCAAACTCAAGAAGTATTGACAAATTAAGTGGTTGCATAATAAAACAATTAGTCTTTTTTTTTCTTTTCTTTTTAATTTCCTTCAGGCTAAATCCTTCCTCTGAGTTGCAACAGCTGCTCTTTGATGGCATCTTTCAAATTGCATGATCTGCAGTTACCTCGCCTTTTAATTGGGAAGAAAATAAGACACGGATAATTAGCTAACTCTCCTAAGGCAAGATGATTAGAAAAGCAGCAGGATGAATATTCAAGCCGTTTTCCCATCTCTGTTTAGTAAAACCATCTGTGTGCCTTGTATTTTTTTTTAGCCGATTTTCTTCTGATAGTTGTCACTGATGTTTCCTGTTAGGGTGCAGGTGGAGTTTTATGTGAATGAAAACACTTTCAAGGAGCGCCTGAAGCTTTTTTTCATCAAAAACCAAAGATCAAGTAAGTGGTCCAGAGCAGTGGGGCATCTGAAATGTTTCTTAGTGTATTAAAATTGACCATTTTGGGCTAAAACTGTTCAACTGCGAGCATTTGCAGAAGCCGCATCGAGGAGAAACTACTCTGATTTCTCTCTCGTCTTCAGGCCTCAGGATTCGTGTGTTCAACTTCTGCCTGAAGCTGCTAACATGTCTGCTGTACATCATCAGAGTGATGACGGACCGACCCGGTCAGGGCACAAGCGGCAGCCACAGCTCAGTGCAACAAAACTCTCCAAATGGCAACAACAAATGGTTAGTTCACACCAAGAGACGGGTCTCAGTTGGGTTAAACGCAGTAGTACCGCACACATTTCTCTATATGTGCACACTTTATGAAATTCAGAGCCAGTAAAAAGAGAATAATGTTTCTTAAATGATAATAAAGTGCAAATATGTGACTGAACTAAGTGGCTTGAGGGTCAATATAATGAAGGAAAGATCAAATTATTTAACTAAACAATGTTGAAGAATGTTACTTTAGGTGACATTTATGAAACTGGTGCATTTGCCTCACTAATGTACCTTAACTTCAGTGCGGCATACATCCCCTTCTCAGCTTCTGTTTCCATTGTGTTTTCATTTCTCTTCATGACCGTCGTTGTTGCGTTGCAGTGTCGACTGCCAGTGGAATGGATCAGTGCAAGACAGAGAAATTAATTGGTGAGCTTGCATCTGCTATCCAACTTGTAGCAGTTATTTTATTGGTTAATTTGGTGCAATGTATTTTAATTTCTGATAAAGTGTCAGCTATGCTTTTTGGCAGCCCTGGCAAAGGTCTGTAAAAACTCTAAGTGCACTTATTTTGAAGTACAAAACAAATTCCCACATTAAAAAAACTATAGTTTGTAACAGAGGAAGTGGTACAGCTCCCATTTCACTTTTCAGTTTCCTTTCACTTCATATAATATGACACTGTTTTTCATAGCCACTCTTTAAAACTGGAAAGAATAAGATAAATTCATGTTAAGAACATGTGTGGTAATATTCATATGTCCAGAAATAACCAGAGAGAAATAACTAATGACCTAAACTTGTCTCCATCAGAAAAAATCCTACTTTAACACAACTAGGACTGTAACAAATGAGATCTGAGAACCCAAATTATCTTGCCACCACGCAAACATAGTAGCAGGATATGCGACGTAAAAAAAATAAATAAATAACTTCAAAGTTTTCTGCTAAAATATTGCAGCAATAAGTGGAATCTTGTGGTCAGCAATTCTCCATAACAACCAGTCGAGTTTATCTACATGGCAATGAAGTTTGGGAGGGATTGCAGAAAAAGAAATAGTTTCTGTTCTGCTGTCGTAAACAGGTTTTGCTAAATACTACATTTACTGATGTGTCACAGATTGAGCCTTTCAGCAACAGACTCTCCAGGTGGGCTCTTGTGTAATTGATATGTACAAAAGCATTACTATTGGTAGGTTTGGTGGAGGATATGTCATGCTTTAGGGTTGCAGAGTCATTGGGAATCTTCTTAGATGCTGAAATGTGAGGATATTCTAAACTTTGAAGCTGTTTTTGCACATCTTTGCAAAGGGATGCCAAAGAGCATTGGGGGTTAAATAAAAGCTCAATCTTTTATTCAACTCATATCTTGTCATTTTGAGTACTGAATTTAAAAATGGAGGATGTTGCACTCTCTCTCTCTCTCTCTTTGTTAGGGACTTGATCTTCTGGGTGGAGAGGAAAGCTCCAGTCTGGGCCATTCAAGTGAGTCACAACAAAATCAAGAGCAAAGAGCGTTACGCCTGATCAGTGCTTGTATCTAATATGCTGCTGCTGCTGCTGTTATGAATTTAGCAGCTATGTTTATTCTTTGCTTTGTTTAGGTGATTGTGGCCATCATCAGTTTCCTGGAGACCATGTTGCTTATGTATCTGAGCTACAAGGTGAGCAAGAGACACAACTGAATAAAAACGCACTTGGCGGTCCTGCATGATTAAGGCATTCTGTACAATTAATCGCTTTCGCAGCATAAGACTGACAATCTGTAAGTGGTGCAATTAGCCCCAGTCATTTGTCACAGCAACAGTAAGGATCTGTGCTAATTACAGGATCTGATTGAGGTGAGAAAGTAAGTGGTTGATGAGGATGACAGACTGTGATGGGGAAGAAAAAAATGAATCTGTGCTGTGACTCACTCCTTTGTGTGGTTGCAGATGAAAAACTGAAAGTGCCTGTGCATGTTTTATTTATTTATTATTCTTTTTTTTTATCTAGGGGAACATTTGGGAGCAGATATTTCAGGTTTCCTTTCTTCTGGAGATGATCAACACAGTTCCTTTCATCATTACAGTAAGGATTTTTGCTATTCCTAAAATACTCATTATCTGTCCTGTCAGAGGGTATCACTGCTGTTACTTGTCTGCTTTGATGAGTCATTGTCTGTATAGATATTTATCACTATGAATGAACAAGAAAAATGTGTGGGATTAGGAAGGCTCGCTGCATCTTGCCTACCAATAATCATCTTTGACAATGCCCTGATATTCAACATAAAAAAAATATTTTCATGTCCTAAATTTAAACACAAGAGATTCATTTTAATATTGGTTATGAAAATAGGTCATAATTAAACCCAAGTTTATTCTGATTCCTGAAAGATCAAAGTTTTGCTGTAATATTTCAATTTTGCCAACATTTTTCTATGACTAGAAGAAATATTAATGTCTCCATTTGAATCTGATGGAGAACCTAAGGAAGAGATTAAACATTAGGGTGATGGCAAAGAGTCCTTCCAACTTCCAACACTCAGAGTCCTTCCAACTTCCAATAATAAATTATAGAAACATATAAACAAAATGTATACTTCTTTGTTCAAGTAGAATTCTGATTGCAGTCAGAAAATTGTGTATTTTCGCCTGAGCAATGTGGTGGAAAAGGAAAAGTGCTGGAATCAAAGTAGAAAAATGGGAAATTATTTTAAATTTCTCTCAGTTGTGTTGTTTTTATTGCACAATAAAACCATCTTGTTGAACTGTTAAACTATCTTTTTAGATCTTCTGGCCTTCAATAAAGGACATCTTCATTCCTGTGTTTCTCAACTGCTGGCTGGCTAAGTGTGCATTAGAGAACATGATTGTGAGTGGAATCCATATTCTTAAATGTGTCGGATGATGACTGTTTTGCTAAGAGGATCGGCGTTTTACTGCAATGTTATCACTTCATGCTCATGTTAATTCGCAAGTAAGAGATCTTTTCTCTTACTTCTCCTGACTTGTGTGTACAGTGAGAAATGACACACGGGGATTTTTCCCTGCAGCGTGCATTACTTACATAAGATAGTCAGATACGATACCAGTTCTTCATCTGATGTTGTTCATTGTGATGCAGAATGATGTCCACAGAGCGATCCAGAGGACAAACTCGGCCATGTTCAACCAGGTCATTGTTCTCATCTGCACCCTGCTGTGCCTCGTCTTCACTGGGTAAGGCTTGTTAGCGCGCGCTGTTGGAAATGTAGAAATAGGTGCAGAACGTGAAGTAAACACAAATGAATCAAAGAAAGTAATGAGAGGGAGAAAAAAAACAGTTGGGTAAAAAGTTGCTGTGCCTCTTTTTAATTAAAATTTTTGAGCTTGTGTTATTTTACTGACTGACTGTGGGTCAGTCGGGAAGAAAGAAAGTTTCCTAAAGCAGTATTCTACTTTTACATTATTACTGAACAAATTCAATATGTTTACATGGTGCAGCTCTTTTCCTTGAGATTTCCCAGAAAATCACCACTAAACCCATATAATGCATTTTCTCTTAACAGGGTGATGCGATTGATTTTCAAGCCGCTATTAAAAAGCTTTGTAATGAGTAGATCAGCTAGAGAGCTACTGTGATGTTCTGTAAACATGAAATAAAGCTGTCAAAAACATTCATATTCACTCACATGCTGGTGTTTCGCTGCATAGTCTGAAAAAACAAAGTTCACTTTCAGTAAAGAGCTGCGCTTACAAAGTCTAACTTTAACTAACTACTACTTTATCAAATCTAAAAACATAACTTTGCATGTAAAGGCCAAAGATCACTTAAGTACACTCTATAGCCGACACTCAACCATTTCTTTTTAGCCAATACTAAATTAGTTTCCTGTTTAGGCTCATTAGGATTAGCAAAAATTATTTAGATAAAGTTACTTTTTTACTGTAATATAAAGTTTGATTTGGGAAAAAAAGTCTTTCTGGTGAAACTTGTGGTTATTTTAATGCAGCAGAAGAAAGGGACAAAGTGATCCACTGTACTAAAACTTATAACTGTGAAACTTCTCAAGTGAGAGTTTCACAAACAAGTTAGTCAACCGAGCTTAAAAAAATAACTCTGACATGAAGACTTGTTTTCGAGGTTAGCAGACATATGAATCTCTCTTCTTTTTGGTTTTTGTAATGTATTTTCACCTCAGATATATCTGTGTTTTCATTGAGTCAGAGTGAAAACATTTCACGTTCTCATTAAGTTAACGTACAAGTAACTTTTCAGTAAAATATGGGAGCTTGGTTTAAGTAAATTCCTTAGTATTGATAAAGACAATTCTTGTCTCACTGGCAGATTATTTTATTTAAAACAACAGACAATTCCCATGTTATAAGTGAAATAATCTGTAATATTACTCATACTTTTTCATCAGTTTTAAGAAGCTATTTACGTAAAACATGCTCTTGCATCTTGGTGAACAGTTACTTATAAGTTAACTTAGTCTTATTTGAAGTGTAGATACTTGCTCTTGAAATTTAACCAAAAATATTTTACAAGATTTTATCTTTCTGCAGTCGTAAAATAACCTTTCTTGTGAAACTGTGGCACAAATACAGCGAGTAGTGGCTGCAACACGTGTGCAGAGCGCTCTGTACAACTTTGTAAATCCTTCCTTGAGTATTTGAGTTAACTTGCTCACCTGCTGTCACCTGTTTGTCTCAGCACATGTGGGATTCAGCACCTGGAGCGAGCGGGTCAGAACCTCTCCCTCTTCAATTCCTTCTACTTCTGCATCGTCACCTTCTCCACCGTCGGCTTTGGAGACGTGACTCCACGCATCTGGCCTTCTCAGCTGCTGGTCGTCATCATGATTTGTGTGGCTCTTGTAGTGCTTCCTCTCCAGGTAAGCAAGTTTTGAACTTTCATACTTTATGTAAGTGCTTTTGTTTTTACATAGAAATCTACATGTTCTTCTTCCAGTTTGAGGAGCTGATCTACTTGTGGATGGAGAGGCAGAAGTCAGGAGGGAACTACAGCCGCCACAGAGCCCAGACAGAGAAGCATGTAGTTTTATGTGTCAGCACGCTTAAAATAGACCTGCTCATGGACTTTCTCAACGAATTCTATGCACATCCCAGACTGCAGGTGCCCACTAGCTTCCATGTATGTACCTAATGCGCTGCCATGCAGACCATCTCACGATTCTTTGAAAATCTTTAAATCTTTAAGGACTACTATGTGGTGATCCTGTGCCCGAGTGAAATGGACCTCCAGGTGCGAAGGGTGCTGCAGATTCCCCTGTGGTCTCAGAGGGTCATCTACCTGCAAGGGTCGGTCCTCAAAGACCAGGATCTGCTGCGTGCAAAGTAAGTGGCACCTTTTGAAAAGTGTGGACGGATTCTAACAGCTGCAACGTAAGAACGTTTTGTCATAGAAACACAGAACAGATACAAACAAATATCAAATGTAGGTGGGTAAACATTTTGGTTGGCCAATAAATTCCCTGGCTGTACTAACTTTAAATATTATGACTCCCAGCTCTTTTTTTGTACCACTGATACGTTGATGATTTTTCAAATTTATATCTATACATTTTCTAAATTTTGGATGCCCTTCCCTTTTTGATAAAATGGGAGATAAAAGTGATCTGAATGGAGGACCCAAGTGCAGGCAAAAGGGATGTGGAGTTCAATAAAATAGCGTTCACGAACCTTAATAGTTTTTCAAGCCATGAAAATAAAAAACAGCCATGATTTTTTTAAATATTGAAAGATTGGACCAACAACTATTAAAAGCTGAGTTTTGTCAGCGACTCTGATACCGATTGTTCTGAAAAAATCTTTCCATGCAGGACAGAGGCAAAGGGGATGAAAGAGAGGTCAAAGGTCATCTATTACTAGGCCTGTTGGTCTGCTGCAGTGGTTGAGTTCAAAAAAATTAAAAAGATCGTTTTATCTCAAAGGTTTTGAGATGAATTGTGTTTGAAATATTCAAAAGGATGGCTTTAAAAAACCATTCTTTTATAACGTGGTAAATCATTTTAGATATCACTTGGCTTATTCTATCATTCCATTTTTCAGATAAAAGCTTGTCAGAGCTATTGTGTGGCTTAATACAATGACAACACTGTAATTGTTCTTTAAAGCTTTTTGACTTGGCTGGTAAAATGACTCCTCCTCAAAAGGTTAACGTTATCTTTGTCATATTTTTATCCTGGAGGTCTAATAAATGGTACTTGGAGAAAAGAATGACTAAAGCGGAAGAAAAGCATGTCTAGCCAAATTTCTTTCTGCAGCAACAAACTTCATCTGTGGAATCCAGTTCAAGTAAACACAAGATTGTAAACCGCTTTCAGATTTTCTTTGCAGACCTTCAGCCGGCCATAAATAACCTGATTTTGCAGATCATTACACTCAGTTTAGGTCTTTTCTGCGGTTATGGCAGCTACAGACGTATGTGGCTTAATGTGGCTCTGTAACGTTACCATTTCTTTGACAAGGTTAATTGTAGCAGAGTTATTTACAGCACTGCATCAGGTACATCATTCAAAACGACTGGAGCGTATTGCATAACTCCACTGTATACATTTGTCATGGTTTTAGCAGAGCAATTAGAAGCAAAGGATTGGGTGTGTGTCGTGCTTACATCCTTCCTCTGGCAGTTTTTCAAATCCTCCCACACTTGTTTTGCATTCTGCACTCCTCTGGCTGTGTTAATCGTATGCAAAAACAGTTCTACAGCCGCTGAACACTCAATATACGGCACGTATCAGCTTGTTTGTGTCTCTGCTTATACACAGTCGATGCAAAATGGAATATTGAATCGGTCAAATCTAATGAGAATATTGTGTGGCAAAAGTTGTATTATTTTTTTGCTTGCTGACATTTCAACAAAGATCTTTTCATGTCTTTATCAAAATGCTGCAGAATGGACGACGCAGAGGCTTGTTTCATTCTGAGCAGTCGCAACGAGGTTGATCGTATGGCCGCGGTAGGATAAATTGTAGTTATTGTACTCTGCTCAAACTTTTTTTTTCTTTTTTTTTTTTTTTACATTTAAAAGTTATATTTCTTGAAAATGGTCTAATAAAAAATTTGCAATATTTTCTTATAGGACCACCAGACCATCCTGAGAGCTTGGGCTGTGAAAGACTTTGCCCCTAACTGTCCTCTTTATGTCCAAATACTCAAACCTGAAAACAAGTTTCATGTTAAATTTGCAGGTGGGACTTTTAAAAAAAAAAAACTTTCTGACCGTCGCTTGTATAAAAAGCTAAAAAAATTAGACTCTTACAAGTACATATTAAGGTACAGTCTCTTGGAAAAGTTATTATGCCCCTTTTTTCAGTTTGTAAACTCAAAGTGGAAGTAAAGAAAAATTACACTTTACAAATAGAAATCTCAAAAGACAGGCATGTATTTGAACTCTACCCCATTACTTTGATGACCCTAAATACAGTTCTGTTCAGCTAAAAACTCACAGGTCACCAAAGTAGTTTTTACACAGTGTTCTAAATTATTATGCAAATTGGATTAAAGTGTCATAAAGATTAAACTTTTTGTTGTGCTATTAAATTTATAGATGGTATTGTGTGTCAGGGCTCTTTGAATCACTATAATTAATTTCAGAGAGCTGGGTTGACAAGTTTATCTGGTGAGCCCAATTAAAGGAAAGCTACTTAAGAAGGATGTTCCACATTATTAAACAGGCCACAGGTTGCAAGCAATATGGGAAAGAGAAAGGATCTCTCTGCTGACGAAAATCATCAGATAGTGTAGTGCATTATGACAAGATATAAAAACATTAAATATTTAACAAAAACTGATGCGTTATCGTACTGTGACGAGATTTGTGGCTAATTCAAAACAAAGATGGATTTGTACAGATGAAGGCATAATGAGGAAGGCTTCTGTTCGACAAATTCATCGAATTAAGAGAGCAGCTGTTAAAATGCTCTTACAAAGCAGCAAACAGTAATTTGAAGCCACTGGTGTCTCTGGAGCCTCAACGTGGAGGATCCCTCAGAGGCTTGTGGAGCATGAATCTACTATTCAGCCCCCTAACCAACTCATAAGCAGAAACGGTGGTGGACCAAGCAGTAGTTGATTGGTGGTGGACGGCCACCACATCCCAACACGGCTGTGAAGTCAGCAAGGAAGTCATGCTTTGGGCTGAAATTATGAGGAGAGAGCTGGTCGGCCCCTTCAGAGTCCCTGAAGGTGTGAAAATGACTGATCACTTTCTTTCATGGTTCAAAAAGAAGAGCCGTACCTTCAGTAGCAAAATCATCTTTATGCATCACAATGCACCATCTCATGCTGCAAGGAATAACACTGTGTCACTGGCTGCTATGGGCAAAAAAGGAAGAAAATAATGATGTTGTCGCCATCCTCCTCTGAACTCAATCCTATTGAGAACCTTTGGAGTTTCCTGAGGATGGGATGCAGTTCATATCAAAACAGCAGCTCTGGGAAGGTTTTCTGACATCCTGCAAAGAAATTTAAGCAGAAACTTTCCACAAACTCACAAGTTCAATGGATGCAAGAATTGTGCAGGTGATATCAAAGAAGGGGTCCTATGTTGAAATGTAACTCTGTCTGTTGAGATGTTTTTGATTGAAATTAGCAGCTCTTTATAATCCATACAATGTTTAGAAAATCTGCTGTGCATAATAATTTGGAACATTTTGAGTTTTATATTTTTGAAAAAAATACTTTTCTCATGGGGAACTTTGTTCAGTAAAATTTGATTTATACTGTATTAGTTCATGACTTGAAAATTATACTGACCATCATTAGCATTGACCATTTAAGAAAATCTGACAAAATATCACTTGCATAATAATTTGGAACACAGTGTAGAGTCCATGTTTGTATTCAACCCTCCTAATTTAACTTTGTGGTGTGATAATTTTACACTTACCATTAGAAAAACTTACCTTAAACTTACTCACCATTCCTGATAAGTAAATAAAAATATTTTTAAAGGTCAGAAATAATTGCTCATAATTTACGCGTTAAACTGTCAATTATTGTCTCACAAAAGTGAACATTAAATTGTGACGTAATGTGTGGAAAAGTTAAAAGGACATGAATATTTTTGCATACCATCGTATATTTTTCATTCCACAGCCATATTAGTTTATTATTGTTACACACTTCTAACATGTCGTCCAATTCTAGATCAAGTCGTGTGCGAGGAGGAATTCAAGTACGCCATGCTGGCTCTCAACTGTGTGTGTCCTGCCACTTCCACCTTGGTCACACTCCTAGTTCACACCTCCCGCGGACGGTAGGTAATCTCTGATAAGCCATTTTATTTCTCCCTGTATGACTGAAAAGTTCAACTTCTTCGCATGTTCACGTCCACTGACGTTGGATGAAAGCTCCAAGGAAAAGCCAGAGCACAGAAGAAAAATCTTGGGTACTGTGCAACACAGCAGGACATGAAAAAAATTCAGCACAAGAGAGAACAGCAGCAAGCTATATCGCTGTTTCTTTTTCTTTTCTTTGTTGGATATATATTTTTGTCAAGAGTTCTTTGTAAGGCAGTTTGAAAAGCTCTCCAGAGGCAAATGATTTTTCACAGCACGCAGACTTACAGCAGAAGTGTCGTTGGCTGATGGAGCGAGTCTCTACAAACAAGATACTCACCTCTACAGCAAAAACAGATGACTCTAATCCTATCCTCTAACCCTAACCCATAAGATAATATTTCCTAATTAACATTTTACATTAATTTATAGTTTTAAGTTTGAAAACACAGTCCTTCCCAGATGTTTCAGTGCACACTCATGTGTGGCTGATGTCAATTTAAAAACAAATTTTGCTTTCTACAATAAGATGGATGAAGTCAAGGAAAAAAATTCAGTTTAAAAGTCACCTTAACTTTGACTCACCACTTTATCCTCATTGCATTATTATTGGTGGTTGAGTTGAAAAAAAAAAGGCAAAGCGAACTGACTGACAAAGATAGATCAACCACATCCTGAATAAAGTCATACATTTTTACTGTTGATCTTCTTATCAGAGGGGTTTAGACCATGTCTTCTCTGTCAGTATGTTTGATGGAGAAGATGTTTGGTTTATGGATCCATCCGTATTTTCTCTTAATTAATTGCAGAGAAGGACAGCAATCTCCGGAGCAGTGGCAGAGGATGTATGGATGTTGCTCCGGCAACGAGGTCTACCACATCCGACTGTGCGACAGCAAGTTCTTTGGAGAGTACAATGGCAAAAGCTTCACGTACGCCTCGTTTCATGCTCACAAGAAGTGAGTTGACGTGTGAGCTATAATGTCCCCCTCAGCAGGCTGGCTAGTTCAGGTTTTACAGATTCTGTATTGGTTCATTGTTTCTTTATTTTACTTTTATGAAACACGACAGGAAAAAAATATTTATACTGAGACTTAGTGGCTGAAAATGAGAAATAATTTTTTGTGAGTTTTTTTTTTTTTTTTATAAATTTTGTCAGAATGATAGGAAATCTCATCAGGAAGACGAGGGATGAAAATTTTGCAGTATCAATGTATGTGGCTCTAGTCAAGCTTTTATTCACCAGGGTGATGTGAACCAAGATATCCAAGCAGACACCCCGAGCATCACTTTCCTTCAGGTTGATTTTGCAACCAATCTAGATCATCATCCTGCTCTCCACATACATCTGCTCACTTGTCGCCATATATTTTCAACGCTTTGCAGGTGTTATTGTAATAAATGCATTCTCTTCTTCACAAACGATGGATTTGTTGTCTCCAGGTACGGCGTGTGTCTCATCGGGATAAAAAGGGAGGAGAACAAGAGCATCCTGCTGAATCCTGGTCCACACCACATCATGGCTTCCACAGACACCTGCTACTACATCAACATCACCAAAGAGGAGAACTCCGCCTTCATCTTCAACCAGGAGGAGAGGAAGGGCCGTCCTGCTGGAGGAATCTATGACGGGCCCTCACAGCTTCCTGTGCACAGCATCATCGCAAGCATGGGTGAGAGATGCTTGCATGTTTTAGAGCATTTGAAGTGCAAACATTTGGATAGGTGAAGGCAATCCGTGCAGTGAGGTCTGAGGCACAATGCTTGCGTTTGCAGGAACTGTTGCCATAGATCTTCAGAATACAAGTCCGCCCAACATTTCAGGGGGCAAACTGGTCCCGCCCACCGTGAATGGGACAAGCAGCCGCCGACCCAGTATCGCACCAGTCCAAGAAATAGCCGACTCTGCCGCAATCCTGCCGTGTGACCTCCTGAGCGATCAGTCAGAAGATGACACTGTTTTTACAGATGAAAAGAGAAGCTCGTCCACTGAGTAAGGATTTCGTTTTTCCCAGTGACTCCCAAACCTTACATATAATGAACAAAATCAGATCTACAACAAAAAGCTTTAATCTGATGTAGAAGTGAAAATAGAAATTGTTAAAGAGCTCAAGTTTAGTTATTTTTTATTTCAAATATACTTTTTGTATCAAATGGGCGAGTTAAATGTACTTAAGGATTCAGACCAAAGATGCTACACTGGGATACACTGTGTTCTTTAAGTTTGTCTTTAAAGTTGGGATTAGTACTTTTTCTGCTTTGCAATATTTTCCTTAGATGGTAATTATTATCAATAATTTAAATTTACATTATGAGACAGCAGCTTAGAGCAGAAATGTAGGGAGTTCAAGTTCTGATGTGAGTTTTGTCTGCAACAGGAAGTTGTCGCAGAGTGAGCAGATGTATGTGGAGAGCAGGATGATGATCTAGACTGGATTTTTTTTTTATTTTTCAGATTTTCTGTGTCAGTATGTTATTGCATCACTTTTACCATAGTTACAACCACAAGTCATTTGTGGTGTGCTTCTGCCAGCTTTGTACATCTCGTCAATGATTCGTCTTTGCAACATAGCTCAATCAGGCTGGATGGAAAGTGCTTGAACTGCAATTTTCAACACAGATTATTGATTGGATCTAGAGTTTTTCTGGGTCATTCTCATCGACTAACAGGTTTTGATTTAAGACATTTAATTGCTGCTTTGGCTGTAGGGTTGTTGTTCTGGTAGCAGGTCGCCCTACTCTGTCTTCTGCAGCCTATAACAGCTGTTCTTGTATTGTCTCACCCCAGTGTCTCCTTTCTGACTTAATTTTTTTTCACACTTTATTTCATTACATGCACTATAAGTAGCATTGGTGGGAGAACATTGGTGTAATATTGTCATACTTTATTACATAAATTTGTCCAAGAACTGCAGGTGGAAATTAGCATTTGTTTTACTATAACCTGATACTATCTGTCTCTCCTTTTAAAGGGTATAATTACATAGAAAATAATGTATATTGGAGCTTTTGCAAAGAAATAAAATATATAAACAGGGTGGGATACTTGACTCATATTATTATTGTTTATTGTTTTAGGATTAGATTAGATTATGCAAGTCTAATGGATGCTGATATTTTTGAATAGGAAAAACAATCTTACGGCTTTAAACATTCAAAATGCACGTAACCAGGGTTAGCATGTTTAGCATTATGTTATAGCTATTATAAAAATTTAACTAAATTGATTTTTTTTACATGTCACAGATGTTTTTCTTAGTATTCTGCAGTCATAGGTTGAGTTTTTGTTAAAATAAAGTACATTAAAGCATATTTTTTATTTGACAAAGTGCATCATTCATCCCTTCTGGATCTGTTGTCAGGTATGTTAAAGGTTATCCTCCCAACTCGCCGTACATTGGGAGCTCGCCCACCTTATGCCATCTGTTGGCTGAAAAAGCACCATTTTGCTGCCTACGACTAGACCAGGTGGGCAGTCGCTTTTCCTTCCACTTAGTCACTCAATTACAGGCCGCCTCAATCGTTCCCTCTCGTCTCTCTCTGTCCTTCACATCATAAAAGCATACCTAAAATGCCACTCTGTGTTCCACTCCTCTTGCAGGGCTGCATGCACAACAGCTTTGAGGATGCAAAGGCTTACGGCTTCAAGAACAAGCTCATCATTGTGTCGGCTGAGACGGCGGGGAACGGTCTTTATAACTTCATAGTGCCTCTCAGAGCTTATTACAGACCCAGGAAAGAGCTGAACCCCATTGTCTTACTGCTGGATAACCCGTGAGTTCTTAACACACGCGTACCGCAGCACATTGTTCCTCCGCTTTTCGCTTCACTCAGACTTCCTCCGTGTCATGCTGGGAAAGATTCTGACCGCTGAAAGGCGCACGTCAGCAAGCACTTACGACAAGGCTGTGGAGGTGGGACTCCATTGTTAATTCTGATGTTAGATTACCGGTGTTACTCTGTGTTTTTAGTGACAAAGTAAAATAAAAAAATAAAAAACCCGGTACAGTAACCAGACAGTAACCATGGAAACTTGCTCTACCTTGAACTTGGGTGATATATATTGCCACAAGGGGAGAAAATGATTTCTTTTGAGAGCTCTAACTTCCATCAAGAGCCCTGATGCGTCGCCTTTTCAGCCCCCACATGCCGACTGAAAGATCCCTCATAGAAGCACACACACACAACAATAAATGCTCCCTGCGTGCTGCTGCTTTCGGTGCCACCCTCCCTGTCCCCCTCTCTCCATCACTGTTGCACACACAAATGCAAACACCCACGCTTTTGGAATTCAATCACTTACAACAGCCTTGGGTCTCGTGTCAGCAGGATTGGGAACATGTAAAAAGTAATGCAATGTCAAAGGAGGTGCAGGCAGACACTAATAAAGTGTCTGAATCTCTCTCTGAGTGCGTTCGGCACCAGATGGACTCGTCCCTCTGCCTGAAGACACTCTGACCAATGAGATAACTACTACACAGAGGCTCCCAAGAGTCTGGTGCAGGCTGTTGGAAATAGAAATAGACTCATTTCTGAAGCAGCTTTGAAAGGATGGATTCATTTGGTGCATATCAGGCCCCAAAATGTTTGATTAATTTGTATTTTTGGTGTATAGCACCTTGAAAAATTATTCATGAAACATTTCTTATTTGGTCAGATTACATTACATGAACTTCAGTGCTTTGCAAAAAGTGTTTTTGTCTGGTTTCTTGTGCAAATATATTGGTACACTTGAAATAAGACCAAACTAATTTGCCAGTAACTGTTCAGCAAGATGTAGCAGCTTGTTTTATGTCAATAAATCCTTAATTAGTGATAATAAGTACAAGTTCCCTTGACAGTTTTTTTTCACTTACACTAAGATATTTTCCCCTTGTTATTAGTTTAAAAATCTGCCAATCAAATCAACCTAGTACTTTCTATTACTTTGTAATATTAATTAGTAATTTACTTAAAATAATCTTGCTTTAAAGTTAATGGCAAGTTAGTTCACTGTAATTAGAAAAATCCAAGTTAATCGTGCACAAAGGATTTCTCAAAATGTTGCTCATTACTTCATTGATGTTTACCTGCATTTATAAGTATTAGCCACTGTTGGGTATTCACCTGTGACTTTAAATTGCATTTATTTAATTCAGTGTCTCTTTTGGCTGTGGTCCAGTCAGGGAACAAAGCCAAACCCCTTAAAACACGTATGTCAAACTCATTTTCATTTTGGGCCGCATCGAAATCATGAATTTCCTCAAAGAGCTACTTGCATGTGAATGCATTGATAAAATCCATTAACAAATTGTTAAAATATTAATAGATAGCTCTCTCTGCATTTGATGAGTGATTTTTTAAAATTAAATAATATCAAACCTCTTTTCACATTGATGTAATTTGGCACTACAAAAATAAAAACTGATTTGATTCGATGGTTGAAATGCCATTTAATCATACAACTGTTTTTTCAAAAGTTCTTTTGAAAATACAATCGTACACAAAGTCCTAGCCAAAGAGCTTTGCAGTCGATGCACAAAACAGACAGTACATCACCAACAACAAGGTGAGTTTTGCTTTTTACTGCAGCATATTTTTTTTAGGAATTTCTTTCTAAAAGCCGAAAACAAAACAAATGACTGATGGAGAAAGAAACTGCACTGAACCGTAGCAGGGACAAACAGAGGAAACAAAGGACAAATCCTTTTGTGCAAAACTGCTTTGTTGAGGCTTTTTCTGACTTTGTAACATACTAAATGTTTCACTGATTGCATACCAAACTCACAGTTTTGGCGCGGAGTCTTTTGTTTGAGAAATGTCAAGAGCAAACAGAACGGCATTGACTTTCATTATGATTTTTCTTCCCGCAGTCCTGATAATCACTTCCTGGAGGCCATTTGTTGTTTCCCAATGGTGTACTACATGGGTGGGTCGATAGACAAGTAAGGCCATTGCATAATCTTTGTTTTTATTTTATTAAAATTGTTTTACTCTTAAATTATTTAAAGAAGATACCTACTTTTATTTTTTCAAGTGTTCGGTGGTATTGTTGTCAAATGATCTTTTTGTGTGTGTTGCAGTCTGGACAGCTTGCTCCAGTGTGGGATTATCTATGCTGATAACTTAGTTGTGGTGGATAAAGAGAGTACGATGAGCGCAGAGGAAGACTACATGGCGGATGCCAAAACTATTGTCAATGTACAAACAATGTTCAGGTAAATTAAACGTTTTAGTTGAATGCTAAAGTAATAACTTTATGACAGTAAATTGAGTGTGCGATCCTTTGCTTGGATGATTAATCTTGTCCACTTAACTTGTTTGGGTTTTTTTTGCCCATTTTCTCCCCTTTCCAAAAAACAACGCAGGTTGTTTCCAAGTCTCAGTATAATCACCGAGCTCACACATCCATCCAACATGAGGTTCATGCAGTTTAGAGCGAAGGACTGCTATTCGCTGGCTCTGTCCAAGCTAGAGAAGGTCAGTTGATACCTGGGGACCAGAGGTTGGAACCGCATGCTGAACTATGGGTAAATGACTTTCTGACCATCTCATGTCGCGCAGAAAGAGAGAGACAAAGGCTCCAACTTGGCCTTCATGTTCCGCTTGCCCTTCGCTGCAGGCCGAGTGTTCAGCATCAGCATGTTGGACACCCTCCTCTATCAGGTTGGTAGACATCCACAGCAAACCCAGCAGCCTCAGGTGACTTTATTCAGCATCAGGTATGTGAGTGTGTCTCACATCAGCAGAGAAACAGTTGCCTCTTACGCAGCGCTGGCTTCAGAAGGCAGAGCTGCCCTCTTGTGCTCAGCCACTAACGCATCGCTCGTTCTTTCTTTCTTTTCTTTGTCGTAAGCTTTTTATTTTGTTAGATGTAATCAAGGTTTTGAAGTGATTTTGAAGTGTTTTACATGTGCTACTTTTTCAGTCTTTCGTAAAGGACTACATGATTCTTATTGCTAGACTGCTCTTGGGACTGGACACCACCCCTGGATCAGGATTCCTCTGTGCTGTGAGTCACATACAATGCCAAAAAGTAGTGCACAAAGTTGGGCATAATTGTGAAGTGGAAGTAATATGACACATACCTTTTTTGTTTGTTTGTTTTTACAATTTTATTTTATAAAAATAAAAGTCTGGAAAAGTGGCTTGCATTTGTAATTAGCCTTCATACGTTAATATTTGCAGAGACACCCTCTGCTGTAAATATCACACAGGGACTGTGCGGTATTTTTTCTTTCAGTTTTTCATGTCAGGAAACCAGAGAAGTTGCCAGATATTTTTTTGCAGAATAGTTCAAGCTGAATCAAATTGGGTGGAACATTTTTGTGAATCTCAATTCTGAAATATTACGACAGCTTCTGATTTGAACACATGAACTTGATGCTGCTAAAAGCTGAAGCGATGTACCAAGTCTTTTCTCTCTGGAAAGTTTCCTTTTACGATTGCCCTGTGTGGCGTGTTCGTCTTTGCTGTGTTCCTTACAGGCTTGTAGAAAACTACAAATGGGACTTTTAGTTCCATAAAGTCCTTTATAGTAAGGCCATCTGTTCCTTTTTCTTCCACTTCAAACACTTGCAACACTTTGTGTAGCATTACTATCTTATAATTTATACAGATTTTTGTGATTGGGACATGGTCATTGAACTTCCATTAAAAGTGAAAGGTCACAGAGTTAGAATAATTTTAAAGATGCCTTTGTGGAAGAGAAAATGGTTAAACTGACCAAGCCACTTTTCAAATCAACATCCTTTCCTCTTATTTAGATGAAGATAAAAGAGGAAGATATATGGATCGGCACCTACGGGAGACTGTTCCAAAAACTTTGCTCCTCCAGTGCAGAAATTCCCATCGGCATCTATCGCACAGAGTCTCACATTTTCACCACTTCAGAGGTGAGATTGTGAACATTAATGCATCAAAACTGACATATAATCACAGTCTGGGATCACGAGGAAAACACAAACACTTCCGTCCTAATTAAGTCCCAGGTGTCCATGAGTGTTGACTACTGCGAAGACACAAAAGACAGAGGGGACGAGCCTCGCAGCAACGAGCAGTCGGATCACCCCCTGCTGAGGAAGAAGAGCATGCAGTGGGCGCGACGTCTCAGTAAGAAAAGCGTGAGGTGGCAGGGGGGAAGCCGGGACTCGAGTAAAGACCACGCCCAGCGCATAGCCCAGCAGCGTCTCAACCTCTACAGACGCTCCGAGAGGGAAGAGCTGTCCGAGCTGGTCCGGAACCGCATGAGGCATCTGGGCCTTCCCACCTCAGGATACGGTAACCATGGACATTCCCGCTCTCTGATAGCATTGCTGTAACTTTAATGCACTACTTGATTTCACTCATGTCTCTTCCCTATCTAACATGAAGATGATCTGACGAATCTGACAGCCAGTGATGTCATGAACAGAGTCAATTTGGGATACTTACAAGGTAAAACATTTTAAACTTTTTATGTACAGTTAAGAGCATTGGCCAGGTTTTAGGCTGATTGTGTTTGTTTGTTTCAGACGAACAGAATGATCACCAGAACACTTTGTCTTACGTCCTCATTAACCCTTCACATGATACCAGGCTAGAGATCAACGACATTGTGTAAGTAAAACGACTTCATGATCCATGTGACCACAACATGTATCATTTTTTGATGGCACCAATATGCAGATTCGTTCTCACTATGATAAGTTGAAAAAGTATTAAATATTATTGAACTTCTTCAGATTTCATCATATTGTAACCACAAAATTTTATATATAAACTATTGGTATTTCATGTGACCTACTAACATAAATTAGAACATCATGATGTGAAGGAGTTAGTTATACCTGGTTTTAATGTTCTTTGCAAGAAAAAATCTGTGAATCTTGGTGAGTGATTTTATTTACCATCTTGCATTATTACCTTTTACTGCAGTTACATCTGAGCATCTTTTAGAATATTTCTTTACCAGTTGTGCTCATCAGTAGATGGAAATTGTTGCGTATTATTCTTGAGAGCGCCGGTTATCAACAGTTTGTAATCACTGGTTCTCAGTTGCTTAAGGTCCGTACTTTGCCTGGGCAATTCTAACACATGAATATGCTTTGATCGAAACTATTCCTCTGTAACTCTGCCTGCATGTTCAGGTCCTGCTGGAAGACTTACCTAAACCTCAGACTTAAGTTTCCTTCAGCCTCAAACGAAAGGTTTTTTTCCAACATGAGCCCATACTTACCTTACCATCTCCCCATAAACTGACTTTAACTTTTTTTTTTTAATTTTAGTTATGTAAAAATGTGAAAATAATGTATTTTTTTTCACTTCTCAATCATGCACCACATTGTGTTGATTTGTCACACAAAGTCTAATGAAAATCCACTGATTTGTGGTTGCTACATGTTTAAATGGTACAATGGTTACTACATTCTGCCATGGTTCAAATGGTATGATTACTTTTGCAAGCACTGGTGTAAATACACAGTAGAGTAGTGAATATACAGTAAAAATCTGTTCCTTTGGCTCCTCCTAGTGTCTTGTGTAAAATGTGTAAAAATAAAACCACAATAGGAACTAAAGAAGCAAGAAATGTGCCAGTTGTGATTATCATCGTCAGAACAGCAATATTTCATCATACCAGAAAGCATTTGATTTACCAGCAGTTCAAGTAAATATATATTTTATGGATTTCAACAGAGATCTTCAGCTCTCTGTGCTTTTTCAGAAACAATTATGAGGTTAAAGCAGCTTAGGGAAATGTTTTTAGCACTGACATCTTTGTTCCCTCACAGATACTTAATTCGTTCTGACCCTCTGGCTCACGTTCCCGAGGAGCCCCCCGTCTACAGCAGCAGCCTGAAAGAGAGACACGAGTCCAGCATAGACACCAAAGAGGACACCCCGCTCTGACGCAGCGCTGGCCTTTAACTGGATCGGCCCCCCTCACAGCTGGGTTTTAGCTCTCCACGTGCTGAAGCCCACAAATGTATAATGTCAGTGCCTACTGCCTGCCTGATCACATTGAATATAATGTTTGCCATTTTCATCATCTTGTTGCAAATGCTGTACATATGAAAACTGCATCACTCTCTTTTCAGCTCTTTAAATATGCAGGGATTTCATGAAGGCTTTTCCTACTTGCTGTTGTGTTTAGTTAGAATTACAATAAACTTCTGGGATTTGTATCTTCACTTTATCCAACAATTCCTAAGTTAATTCAACTTAAATCTGATTTTCATATATTTGGTAATGAAGTTAGAGGCTTTATTCCCCTTTTTAAGTCTCTTGGTGGAAACAAAGAGAACAACAGACGGATGATTAACTTATCAGGTTTCACACATCTGAACGTTTACAACTCTGCTAAAATCGTGCAGCTACAATTAAAAAGCCCCAAGTGACTTAAGCTAAATGTGTGCATTAATCTTTCAGAGTCATATTTTATAGATAAATCCTTGAGGTATTCATTAGTGCCACTAAGACCTACGTCAATGATTCATGTACAAATAATGACGGTTATTCATATATTTGTCAGAGCAGATCATTGCTTTGTTTTTAAATTTTCACTTAAAAAACTTAAAAACTCAAAAATGATTCAATTCAGTTCTATAAACTAATGACTAGGTACGCTTGGCGACAACAGGTGATGTGAAACTTTTTGACAACTGGCAATGAGTTTTTTCCATCACTGTTGAGAAATTGCATCCCAGTCTTCTTTGCAGAATTGTTTTAATTCTGCCAAACAGTCAGAAACTAATAATTGTATCCCTCTGGTTTTCGTGGTGGACAGCAGATCGCATGGTTTATCAATTGTGGAAAGACGCTCAGGTCGTCCATTTATCTCTGTACAATGCAATGCTAGTCAGCCAGCTGAATGAAGCTTCCTACCTTTCAAGAGAGAAAAATCCACCTAGAAGTCCCTTAAATAACAGGTTAAGCTGCTGGCTACCTGAGCAGTGAGGCTGACTGATTAACCACCTAATTTCAAATTGTTGAGCAAAACTGGGTGGAAAAAAGTATAATATTTAGCACCATTAGCACTTAAAAACTTTCATAACCTAAGTGGGTTTCTATCAAAACTTTCCTGATGCCTTTGTACATATATCAAATTTATATATATGACTTACAACATCAATATATTTATAACAACTTACATGGTATGTTGTTTCAGTCACACCAGTGACACAGATTAGCAGACAGTTCAGACAGTTCGGTTCATGCCTATTTGTATCACATCAGGAATTAGAGAATGTCGTGTTGCTCCATGAAGGCATCGCTTACTAATTGTTTGACTGTTGAGCCGGGTGTGTACCTCTTCTATCTTTTTGCATTTAGGTCTGACTTTGTACCAATTTCAGTGTTTACAATATTTGTACTGGATCAGTTTTATGTGCACATTAAAGTGCTCTGAAATACATAAAATCACTTTGAGTTGTGTGATCCTTTCTTTCTATGTAAATTTTGGACCCAATCTATTATAAATGATTTGTGAAGGGCTTTTGGTGACTTTAATATAAAATGTAAAATTCCCTACAATTACAATTGTTACACAGACATGTCTGCATGCAAGCATAGTTTTAAAAGGTAACATCTGCCTTAATTCTTGAATTACTGACATTTCAGGTTCACATTTACTTATTTACTTTTGAGATTTGCATAGATTAACAGCGAACTATAGTTAAGTTTAGTGACTGGTTATTTTACCCTTCATGGATTCTCTTTATTTAATGGAAATTGCTTAAACATCACTTCAACTTTTATCAAAAATGGGCGCTTGAGGAAACAAGTTCTATTAGTCTGATTTTATGAAAGAGCAGCAAGAAGAAATAAATTGTTGGAAGAAAACTACATGATGCTTTATCTGCCATGGTTAGGTACAAGCCGTAGAGCAAACATGTGGCAGAAGGTGCTTTGGTCAAATTAATTTCTCGGCAAAATGCTACATGCAGGAGAAAAGGAGCAATGAACACCACCCTGAAAATATCATCCTCATGATATACAGTGGCGCCATCATCAGGCCAATACCAATACAGGTTAATCTTAGGCAACCTGCCAAAGGGTGCAAAAGACCTGAGACTTGGACAAACTTTAGGCAATAAAAATTCATCATATCTGTTTGAAAAAATCAGTTTCAGTCTACAGACATGTGAGGTTCATAAAACTCAGAAAGGTCATTGCAGAAAAAGGAATTGACTCAGTGTGGCTAAATAAAAATGCTCAACAATTTGTTCTGATTTTTATTTGTAAAAGAAAAAAAAATAATAATTTTCCTTCCACCTCATATTATGCACTACTGCATGTTGGTCTTACATAATGGATGTATTATGACAACACAGGGACAGGTTTAAAGGGTTATGAACAGTTTGTCAAGGCACTTTATAAACGACCGAAAGCTTGTTTGTTCTTTGTCTTGATTTGACTTCTCCCTTCTACCTGCTGTTTGAATTGTGTCACATGTTCGTAATCAAAGCGATATCACAAACACAACCATTACTACCATTACATGTAGTTAGGATTGAATAGGTGTTATTAGACTCAGAGTGAGAGATCTGTATCATAGAAATAATGTTTCTGTTTTTATAAGAAACAGATACAATCTGGTCCAATTTTAGCAAGAAAAATGTACCTAGTTGCACTTTATTACATATCCTCAAAATAAATAAACACAAAATATATAACTAAAATCCGACATAACATCTCTTTAACATAATAAACTTTAAAATAGTGCCTACTTTTTTTTTTTAGTAAGCAGAACTTATACGTAATGTACAGAAAATACTGTTCAAAAATGTACAAAATGCAGCAAACAAATATATCAAGTATAGTGCAGGTTTTTTTCCAAACAGTATTCCAATACTGACAACTGGTCATTAGCAGGTAATAGCATTGCCATGTAATAACATGTAATAACAAAGTATGAGCAGCAAACAGTTTTGTGACATAACTTAGTTGTTTTGATTAATGAATTATCACACACAAATGTTATAGTGAAGTCCAAAAAATACTATATGTGTAGGATGAATAGTAGAATGTTTCCCTTACTGTGGAACCAATATTTCTGGTTCTGTTCTCTTGTGTGACAACAGCAAACAGGTCCAAAATTAAAAGAAAAAATAAAAATAAATAAATTAATAGTTAAGATTTAAAGCATAATCATCAGAACGATGAACCCTATCCCACCAGTCACTCACACCTGCAAACACACTAAACTGGACGAATACTACCACCATTTATCCTCTACATACACTGAAAGTATCGTCAAAGTTCCTTCTTCATAAAAGCAGATACAGTCTCGCGGAATCTCAGTAGATTTTTTATTTTGCTTTTTTTTTTTTATGCGAAGCTAAGCCAGCAAACTTTGATGACTTGCCTCGGTTCATCACAGCCTGCCGTAAGCTGCACTTTGTGTCAGTAGCATGTTTGCTTCTGGAAGGAGACTCAGCAGGATAAGATTTGGTGACTTCAGGTTATGATGAAATTAAATTATTGAAGCGTGACATGCATAAGAACCGGGTAACAAAATGAAAACAGCGAGTACAGCGGGTCAGTGAGTTGGTACTCACACTGCCACAGACCATCTAGCTCTCTCTAATCCTGCCAGTCTTCTCCAAGATGTTTGGGTCCTGCCCAACTGTAGCTTATTAAACACAGACAGTAAACTGTGCGAGTCCTGTTCATTTTCTGCGAGCGCTCCCTGGTCTCTTGATTTGCCAGAGATGATTGTGGATGGTCAGAGCGTCCACGCTAACGGACACAGTCTTGGCGGGGATCACGGTGAACTGCTTGCGGTCTGAGTTGTACTTGTACAGTTTGTCGATCATCTTTTGAGTGATGCTGCGCGGCCCAATGCCCGTGTACTTGATGATCACCTCGGTGTCTGGTGAGTACGTGTAAATGGCGCGGAACTGACACCCGCCGTCACGGAAGAGGATGAACAGGTGGTTGGATTCACACTTTTCCAGCTCCTGGGAAACAAACAACAGTTTTAGTCTGGGGGTATAACAACAAAATTGTTTGGAACGCAACAAAATGCATGAAGATGACAAAAGTTTTATGTGTGCAGCTTGGATTGATTCCAGGAGATTTCACTGACCTCGAGTGTGACATTTTTCTGGACCTCGTTAACTTTTCCAGCTAGGCAGCAATGGGCGATGGCATTGATGATGATTGGCTTGTTGGATTTTGAGCTAGGCTCCTTGAAGAGTTTAGGACCTTTAAGCACACAAAATGTTATTACATTTTTTTTTAAAGTTTATACTTCTAAATGTCCTCAATCATTTGAATCAGACATTTGATATAAGTGTAACTTTTGTTTTTGAGTTTGTAAAGCTAGCTGTGCTAATTGGGTAAATCGCAAAGAAAAACTCCTAAAGTCAGATTTCAACACGCGTAATTATTTTTGTAGGGCTAAAATACTAGATGAGTCCAATTTTCCAGTGACTTCTCTCTAATAGCAGTGTGATATAACGTATGCAACTGGAAGCCTACCAAAAATTGCTCCTTTCACATTTTGTTCCATCAACTCATTATTGGGACAAAAAACTTCGCTGAGAATACATTTAAATCTTCTATTCATTGTGACCTTATGTACCAGGTAATGTCCAGTCAACATGTAAGAGGGATGTTGGATGGTGCTCATTGCAACCATCTCTCACCAGTAGAATCACAAGTAATGAATAATTACTTTTCAGGAATCTTATGCGTCTTTTCTTTTACTTATCAGTATAATCCTTCTGAATTTCCACACTTCTGCTCACCGTTGTACTCCACTGAAGTGACGGATGAGGCTATGGAGCCGATCTCCCAGTCCCGATCCATGTTCCTGCTGGAAGCTCTGCTCATCATGGGGAACGAATCCACAGAGCACACAGATGCAGCCCTTGATGACACGTTAAACACAAGTCAATTGGATAAGCATAAAGATACGCAAAATTTTGAATCTGATTAGTGAATTTTCAAGCACAAGTTCTTACCTGTTTGATTCTGCCCCGCCAGAGATAACACTGTCTGCTTCCGTTGCCAGTGAAAGCGTTGATCCACGATGACTGAAGCTTAAATCCGCTAAAAAGAACGAGAGAAGGTAGCATCAGTGCATGTTACAGTTCACATTTGATTGCCCCCATTCTGATCCTGAACTACGGTACAGTTAGAACAAGTAGTCACTTTATATATAGCATATATACATATATGAACACATAGTTTATATATTTTGTTTTTTTGTTTTGGTCATTTTCGCTTAATAAGTTGTACATGCTTGTTTGACATTATGCAGAGCAGGTTAGAGACGTTCACCTCCCCTGCTGGCTGCTCCTGAATTCTGGTTTTTCATTAACATAGACACCTTCAGAGAATCACCTGTGTGACACACATGCACACATTTACATGAGGACACACAGGACAGCGCACAGGACACTAAAGCCAACCAAGTCATAATTAAACAAACATGTAAACAATTCAAAACAACATACAACACTCTGTAAGCCCCAATGATGGTCTTACGTGTGGTGGACCCTTTAGGAAGGCTGCTGGAATATCCCCGGTGCATTGATTTGGGTCTGTTCCCGCGGGGTTTGGTCTTGGTGCGGGGCTTGACCAGACCCTGCTCTTCCATTAGGGCTTCCTGCTTCCGCCGCAGATACTCCTGTTTAATAAGCTCTCGACGAGCCTTCTCCTCTTCCTTACGGATGCGCTCCTCTTCTGCCTTACGCCTTGAATAAACATCATAACAGTTAAGGCTTACTATTTTAGCTTTGTTTGTGAAAACAGTCCAAGGACAGGCTATGTTATTTTTTGTGCACGAGTCTCGCCCAGCACATACCGTGCCTCGTCACGTTTGATCTCGCTCTCTGCTTCTTGCTGCTGTTTTCGGAGTCTCGCCTCCTCAGCTTTGCGCTGCTGTTTGAGGAGGAAGGCAGCGCGGCGTTTTGCCATTTCATCCTCTGCTTTCTCATCGTCCTGTATTGTAAATAGATCACCGTGCCTTGAGAAAGTATCATTTATCTTTTTTCTCTTGAACCTTTCCCCATTTTATCATGTTACAAAGAGAAATGATTTATGTAATAGAACAATTCAAAATAGCTCTGGAAATGGAAAGTAAATGACACAGTTTTAGCAATTGTTTGAGTATGAAAGTTAAAAGTATGATGTGCATTTGTATTCATTTGTATTTTGTCTATACATCCACTGTACTTAAAATGTAGTGCAACTAACAGACTTCAGATGTGAGCTAATAAGGCATTTGCCTAGTAATTTATTTTCAGCATAAAATCATCTACATTTGTTGGCCTATTCAAAGGCCATGGCCTAAATTAAGAATGAAAAGAAGAAAAATTAAGTCTGAGTGTACAGACACGCTTCAAAACACTTGTAGTCAAGTATACCTCGACCCAGTATTAGCTCATGGTAACTAAATATAAATGCAC